AAATTTCCCCTCTTTCCTCCTTTGGTTTTGTTTTGGCAGGAGATTGTATACATTTTTTTTTTTTTAAATATCAGCTGTCAGCAGTCAACCAAAATCCCCTATACCAACCATGACAACAGAAAGTGCTGTCATTCCAGTCTTGCATATTACAGGTCAAGCACAGGTTTTTAAATGTAATACCTTAATACTTCTCCAAGGACTACTGTACTTTCCGGACTATAAGCCGCTACTTTTGTCGCTTCATGCACCCACCCTCATCATCGACAACACACGACGAAATGCATATGATGCCGCTTCAAGTTACAGGCGATCGATTTGGCTGTCGAAATATCTCATATTACAACGTGGACACCTGCGGCTATGTACAACTTGTTTTTTCATCTTACATTTAGTGGGTGCGGCTTATAGTCCAGACATTATGGTATTAAAGATTTACTTGCCTTCTACAATTTTTAGCTTGATGAGTAAACAAAATAAGGTGTGAAGAACTTTGTCATCAGAAAGGAATATCTTAAAGTGAACAAAAATATAGGCTCAAGGCTACATTCACACACACTGAAATGTGTTCTTGTGTAAGAACTTGCAGACACCTGCATTAAAATGATTTAGAAGGAACACATAATACCTGTTACATAGCAAAACACACATAACAACAAAAAAAGTAACAGAGACCAAAGCATCACAGATGACAGTCTTGATTCTGTAACTAGAAGCTGTAATATTATTTAAAAGACAGTAAGAGGAAGGATGTTAAGTGAACAGTGGGGCACACCTCTGGGAACCAGGCGTGGCCTTCTGCACAGCAGAGTTGAAGAAGGCATCGCTGAAGAAGTCCAGTGAGCCACTGAAAACCACTCTGGCATTGTTTCTGGCCTGAAGGCCGGCAATCAGCAGGGTATTCTTGCCAACAGCGTGGGGATACTTAAGAAGTAAAAAAACAAAGCTATCAGTTAGAAACAAAGTGAAATATGTTAAACCTTATGTAGTTCATTTCTACTACAGAGAATAAAATGCTATGGCTATGCCCCACCTGGATGCCTACATTTTCAAACCTTAGCTATACATGAAGAAAATGAAAAAATATCCATTCAGGCCTCCTGTAGTTAAATTTCCACTTCCCAGTCTTGCAATGGAATGAAAATGTTTCAGCGAATATTACTTATCAAACTGAGGACATAAGAATTGTAATACTTTAGGGATACAGTTTTTTTTTCCTGAATAAACTTATTCTTAATAATTCACAATGTGACATTGTGACAATATGTCACTGATGTTACCTGAGAGATGGGTCTGTCAGGGAAAAAGGAGTAGGAGGTTGACGAGCCAGTAAGGATGTCCAGGACAAGAGGGTTGTCTGGGTCTGCCACCATGCTAGAACAGATGGCCATAGGATGATTACAAAAATGTTCTCACATTGTCTGCACTGCACCTTTGAAAAAAATTCTAAACAGCAACATTAAATGCTGTCTCTTCCTTCAAAAGTCTCTGCTACAGCCAAGTATAGTAAAATTTCTGTGAAATTCACCAAGGGAGTTGCTGCTCACAATGAAAAAAGCCGCTTATTATAATAACCATTTAAAACCACCATAAGTGTGGTAAAATACCAAAATAACTATTAACTTATTTATCAGAACAACTAAATAATTGGGCAATGAGTTGCTATTTCCAGAAATCTCAACACCCTCCCAACTTCAATATATTATGGTCTTTTGGGGTTACATGTGGTACAGAGGACATCTTGGCTGTTTCCACTTCATTTGAACTGAGGTGTGCTTACCCAACACCCTTGAATAAAATGGGTTTATTGGTAGGTTTGCCAACAATAGTGGGAGCTTTCAGCAGGTTCTCTGGGTCAGCAACAATCAGGGTGTGCTGGGGACAAGAAAGATCACTTGTAAATAACAATGTTAAATGTCAGTTCTAAAGACTGGATTTGTGAAAGTTAATGAACCTGCTGCCCTAAACAGAATAGTGTGTACCTCTCCAGGATCAGACACATCATAATTGTGATGGTCAATGACTGCAGTCTTCTCCTCATCAAACTCAATGCCGCACTCGCTGCCCAGCTCCCTCAGAGGGTCGCCTGTGTAACAGGAGAAAACCATGACCGTTTGCCAACATTCTAGTATTTGACATTATGTAATATTTGAGCAAAGGGTGTTAGAAACCAACTGACCAATATCTGAACTGGCAGCAACCAGGACATTGCCTCCACCATCAATGAAGGATGTAATAGTCTCCACATTAATATTGCCTCCAAAGTCTGCAGATGACCAAAAAAAAAAATAATAATTGGGGGGGGGTCACAGATTGCTTTTCAGCAAGGCAAAAACAAGCCATACAATTGCTCACTTGATTTGGAATGTAGTTTAAAATTTACCTTCAACTGATGGTGAAAAGATGATTAAATGGTCATACAGGAACTGGCCATACTTGATCAGAGATAGAGAGGGATCATCAGCCGTCTTGAAAGTGAGGTCAAAGCCACGATCTGAAAAGGAGAGATACATTATCAGTGACACATTTTTGCAATAACTTCAACAAATTGGCCGTTATCTGCGTTGACCTTCCAGAGGAATGTGAACTCCAAATAACACAAATAAAAGCACTGATATCATAGATAACAAAACTGTAATACCTCCAGTCAGGAATAATAGTCACAAGTATGTGACACTGCCACAATTTTTTTTTAAATAAAAATATTACATCAAAATATTATGTTTTTGGTGTACTACAAGTATGCCAAATGTTTTATTTGCATTGCAAAAGACATACACTACAATTATTTAGTTAAAATACATTAAACCGTCAGAGGCTTTAAAGTTTGGCAAGTTTGCATGAAGCTCAATTTTTGAAGTCCCCTGTTTCCAATGATCAGTTTGCAAGGCGACTGAGACCTGTAGTGTAGAAAAAACAATTTGGTGACACAAAGCAATGAATCTTGAACTGACCTGCTAGACTGCGGAAGAACATTGAATGGGTATCTCTGATGTTAAGGTTGTCCAGCAGAACCAATGTCTTGCCATCAGCAAAGGCACAATGCAACATGGACGCAAATATAAAGAATAAAAGGACACTGTTCTTCAAAAATCTGAACCTCCTTTGACTCCCCATTCTGGTCCGTATTGTGGAGGAGGATGATAAAGAACCGACCCGGTTCATCTGCACCTCTACTGTCAACGCCGCCATTTTGCTGCAGAAGTCGACGTCAGCGTTTACAGACGACTTAACTTTGACCCCGTGATCCAGCCAATCACAAAAAGGAACGCGTCACTGCTGTTGACCAATAGGATAAAAGATTTATTATAAGACCCGACAATCAAGGAAGAATACAAGTCTAGGTCATGAAATGGAAATCTCTCTAAAAAAAGAAAGAAAGAAATGGAAATCTCTACCATATTTATTAAATAATAAGTTCATAATTTCACATCTTATTGTGAGTTTAAAATATTATTCACACAGTTCTGCTTATGCTTTTTAAAAACTAATTAAATTAATAAACCATATTCTTTATTGAATGTATTCATTTTATTACTTTATGTATCTGGAACACACCATTCCAAACTCCATGATATTCTAGGAGCAATATAAACTTAAAAGAAACAAGTAACAGCAGACTGTTTTTATAAAAATAACTGCTCAGCACAAAGATGGTGAGACTGTTGTGTCTTTATTGATCTGATGATGACTTCTGTTGACTTTAAACAATGTTACTGATATTTAATAGAATAAATGTTGTATGTGTTAATATAAACTGACAAAATGATGACATAAATTGGTGACAGTGAAACAGTCCTCATGTAAATGTGAATAGTTCACTGCAATACTGAAAAACACCATATTGCAGCCACTGTAACAGAGGATTGTTGACCAGTTTGTCATCACAACAGATATTTGTCTTGATGTTTTATTACAGGCATTAAGACTTTCTCAGATTATACATAACACGAACAGTATTTACAATGTTTGCCAGAACATAAACAAATAACATCGCACTTCTTGAAAACAAACAATATACTGTAATTACCCCTCCATTTAAATGTTTAGTACCCATACATGTTCATGCAAATAATCTCTGAATAATATTTTCCATGAAAATACTTCTGCTAAGTACAATAAAATACCTTGACTGTCTATAGAAAATGTACACATTTAATGTGAATGAAATGTAAGAATAACAAGGAGGTCTTTAAGTTATATTACAGCAGGTAAGACTGAATTGTGATTTATGTATTTGGTATAAAAGGACAATGCATATTCCTGCATTTGAGTCAAAGTAAACAAACCATATAAAGTTGTATAACTATTTCTGAAAGAAATTTCAACAGTATATACTCAATCACTATTTCTCACCTCCATTGCTGGAACCAGGGTTGCACATCATGATCTATGGCCCTAAATCTTGAGATAATTGTAAATTTTATTTTTTTTTTATCTTGCATGTTACAAATTCAGTTTAGGCCAAGTTTACATTAATCATAGAATGCTGAAGCTCTAAAGCCTCATGAACTCACAGCATTTCTTGTATTTCCTCCTCTATAAATTAGATTTCTGTCATAAACAATATTTCATACTCCATTCACATATCTGCCCCATTACTACCCCTGACTCTCACACTCCATGTCTTCATTTTTCACCTCTACCTTTGTTGCAGCTTTATCTCCTCTCTCTGTTTGGAATTCAGTGGGGGTTTCCACCTTTCCAGCCTCTCTCCCCTCCAAATGACCTACCACTCCTGACCCTTCTTCCTGTTCTTGTGACTCCCCCACCATCCCTCCTTCTGCTTCTCCTTCTTGGTCACTGTCCCCCACCATCCCTCCTTCTGCTTCTCCTTCTCCATCTTGGTCACGGAAGATCAGTTCCCCTTCCTGGATGACCTGTTCAGCTGTGGGTTGCCACGTTGTCGCAGTGTCCCCCTCAGCACTGGTGGCTGTGGTATACTGATAGAAGTCGGAATCTGCCTGAAACATGACCAAGGCCTGTGCTGTGTGTATACGGACGTGCTGTGCAAGGGAGATTGCGTCCAAGAATTTATCACCACATGAGTCACAAGCATATAAGATTTGGGTGTTTGGGTCTGGCAACAGAAGGAGAGGTGACAAATAAAGTAAGTATTTCATATTTCTTACACAGTGCTACTTTTTAAATTTTAATATAGGTAATTATACAAATACAGATGTTTGAATTCATACTGGAAGCTCATTGCAGTCTTACCTGCTTCTTGCACTTTCTCTACTGCCTTGGTGATTTCAGCTTTCAAAGCCTCAGTCTCATCTGCAGACACTGATGCAGCCACTGGAACTACTGTAAACAGACACATGATACAAGGTAAACAAACACTTATCGCTAAGCCCTTTTACTCTCACACTTCTTTTATTATCTGCAGAAGTGAGGGATGCTATTGCCAGCATTTGTCAGGTCCTTGCCAGGACACTGACATTCTCCCTAAAAATCAATTAACTCCACACTGAAGATGCTGTCTGACCTGTCAGCTGAGCTACAGCACTGGCTGCTAGGGCCTCAGTTGCCAGGGTAACAATGTCCTCTGTGGTGACGGTAACTATGTTGATCTCGTTGTCAGAGGCGGCCGTCCCTGCACATGTGTCAGACCCCTCGTCTGCACTGCCCCCAGCTACAACTAGCCGCTTCATACCAGCCTTGCCATGGTGGACAGTCTTGACATGGGAGCGCAGATTGTCTACACGGTTGAATCCTCGGCCGCATTTATCACACAGGAAAGGTTTCTCCCCTGAGAAAACAGAAGCAAAGAAAATGTGGACAAAACTACTTAAGATTTAAGGATGAAAACTGTCAGTTCACTGGATGCAGGGTAGTAGCAAAAGATACTGAAGAAGTCATCAAGTGAAAGACAGTCTCCTCCATTATCCTGAAGCCCCATAATAATTTGACAAAAATTTTGTACCTGTGTGAATGATGATGTGCTTCGATAGGTCTCCCACATTCACAAATGCTTTGTTGCACATCTGACATTTGTGAGGGCGGACATTGTCGTGATGGCGAATGTGATTGGCCAGTTGACTGGACTGCACAAACCTGTCCAGACAGACAGAAAGACTGACACATTCTCTCATCTAGCTTCCTACAATATTCCTACTACTAAAATTTCATGGCAGACTGAACAAAACACTAGATACATGTCTTGTGTTTCCTGCTATTCACTATGCAGGGGAAGAATTTTAAGACAGCTTTCCTTGCATATGTCCAGTCTGCTGAATAATCTCACATCATGTTCCCCAGTTCCAAGTGAGTTTGAAAAATTAACCTATTATTCCAGCAGCTGACCTTTTGCCGCAGCGATCACACACATAGGGCTTTTCTCCCGTGTGCTGGCGGACATGAGCGATAAGGGAGCTGGCCTGGGTGAAGGCTTTGCCACAGACTACACAGACACAAGGCTTCTCTCCTGCAACACACAAATTACTATCTCACTAGGATGGGATGTAGATATCACTGATGTGTGGTTTCCCACTGAAAAATGAGAATGTTGCCTTCACATTCTATAATCTATCTCAATATCAGGGGAGTACCTGTGTGGATGCGTTCATGCCGCTGCAGAGCTCCAGGGTCACTGAAAGCTCTCTGACAGTGCACACAGACATATGGTTTCTCCCCACTGTGGACCCGCAGGTGTCTCTTCAAATTTCCTACACAGCAGATACCATCACACAAGGGTTAGACCAAATGACTTTTCAATTTCCTTTGGATAAAATGCACACTAACTGTAAGCAGCTGGAAAAGCTCAAGGTCAAATGATCAAAAAGTATGATCTGAGTGATGGATGCCATCGTTTCCTTAATGCTATTCTTCTGAGTGGTAAATATAACATTTAAATGTCAGAAAAGTTCGGTGTCAGGATGTGATTATACAGTAGCATTTGCATGATTAATTTAAAGTCGAAGCTCAGTCTGGGTGTTCGAAGTAAGTGTATGGTACATGTCAATTGCTGAGGACAAAGAATCCTCTTGTAGATACAAGTCAAGTATTTGTCTCATGAACAGTGGGTTTGCATGAACAGCAGTTGTAAGTAATGACTGCATTACCAACACTGGTAGCAGCTTACTAACTTTAACTGAAATCACATGACATCAGAGGAGCTGTAACCAGCAATTCAACATTTATCATCAAGCAATCTATCAAATCAAATAAAATGGAAAACAACTGCTTTTGAGAAGCTGAAAGGGTTGGCCTCTCAGTGATAAATAACTTGATTAATAGTTCATTTTCTGCCTATCAATTAATTGTCCAAGCACAAGACAACAGCAAACATTATCAATGGCGTGCATGAACACAGACTCAAATGCTACATCGTGGATAACGGTATCCGGTATCCTGCACAATAAAAGGTTCCAAGCAGGGCAATAAACAATAAACACCATTTCTGCATCTAGTCTGCTGCATTCTATTTTTTACCTGGTTATGATGAAGATACCAGGTGAAAGAAAGTCGAAGCTAATGAGCATGTTTTTAAGTATATACAAAGTATGTCTTTGATTTGTTTTGGGCCTCCTAGTTTAGCTAGGAATAAATTTCTGCTGTCAACTGACTGGTCCCTCTTTGTGTCTCAGAGATTAACATACCATTGGAACACTTTTATAGGTAAAATTTCTAGTTATTCAGAGAGTGAGAGCCTTTTTTTTTTAAGATTCTTACAAGGTCAGTGTATAACAGAAAAAAACAGTAGATAGGAAAAAATGAACAATTCTGCCTTCTTACCTGAAGTGGTAAACTGTTTGCCACATTCTTTGCACTTAAGAGGCCCATCTGTGATATGAATTTTCAAGTGAGCCTTCAGATTTCCCATCTAATGAAAACACAAAACAATCAGATGAGGTGTCTACACATTCTATATAAAATGTTCAATAACATTTGACAATTAAATACATATGGGCCTGCCAAATTGAAATAAAAATATTAATAAACATCTTTCATGGCATCTTTGTAGTACTGTAGTACAAATGTTTCTGCTGAAGAAAAGTTGTTTTGTATAAAAGTAATGCAATTATAGCTGCTGTTTTTCACAAAAAACGAAAAATTCCCAAGTGCACCGTCAACCTGGTTGAAGCGTTTGTCACAGTGTGGACACTTGTTGCCCTTCTCTGTGTCATGCGTCTCCAGATGTCGCATCTTGGCAGTGGGGTCGGAGAAGGCCTTCTCACAGTAGTCGCAATGATATGGCTTCTCGCCGCTGTGCACAAGCTGGTGGCGCTTCAGGTTGCCAGATGTGGTGAAGAGCTTGTTGCACACGTCGCAGCTGTAGCGCGCCTCACCTGTGTGCCGTTTGCAGTGCAGGTTGAGCAGGCTGATCTGGCGGTAGCTCTTTCCACAAGTAGAGCAACAGTATGGCTTCAGAGGGCTAAGAAGCAACAAGAACTTAATTTGAGAAACATGACAAAGTTGAGTAGGCAAGTGTCATTAGAAAGGAGCCAACTAAATGTCTCGGAATAAAGTAACTCACCTGTGTGTTTTCTCATGGGCTTTACAAGCTGCAGGGTCAGAAAAAGCCTTGTTGCAGTCCCGACAGCTGAACGGTTTCTCTCCTGTGTGAATACGCATGTGTCTCTTGAAATTACCTGTGTGTGTAAATTTCTTCCCACAGTCCTGGAAAGAAAAAATATGTCATGAAGAGTGAGGTGACAAACATGTTGATGCTAAGATTTACTGTATATACAGATATAACAAATATTTGCACAAAGACTACCAATTTCACCAGTATTTCCATGTTTGTTGCAAATATATCAGCTTTAATGCCTCTGCACACTGAGTGTGCCTGGGGCTGTCTTGCTAGCGTAACAGTAACGAGCAGTGTAGTAAAAAAGCTGATACTAACTTTTATCAAAAAATTAAAAGTAGTATTAAGACTGACAAAATGTAAATACAAAAAAAAGCATTAAAAATTGTACTAAGTTACTTTATTCTTTTCCACTGCACAAAAAACGCCTTTTCTCACCTCACATTTGTGTGTCACAGAGCTGTAAGGCTTTGACTCGGATCGGCTGCTCATAGACGCTGACTGAGTTTGTCTTCCATCGCTCTCGCTGCTCATATCAACTCCTCCCACCTGCTGGCTGACCTCACCATCTTCCTCTCCAGCCCCCTCTTCATCAGCTTCCCAATCGTCAGTCTCCCCAGAGTCGTCCTCCTGACCTTCAGCTACTTCTGCCAGCTCTGCCACTTTCTTCTCAGTATTTGTTTTTGATTTTCCTTCATCATCTGAGTCACTATCTATGAGGACAGCAACACTTGAAAATGAAATGTGTAAGGAGTGTAAAGAGTGTAAAGAGTTTTGAGTGAAAATGCCAAGTGCTATAACAGCAAAGGCTCTGCAGATTCCAGAAAGCCACTTTTTCACCTGTAACCATTTCACTGATAACATGGAACTGAATGCAAGACTAGGACATACTAGTTTTAATCAAACATAGCTGCTAAAAATCCTGATGAGATCCTGAATCTTTCTGTATAATACTGAACACATGTCATAGGCTGAAGAGGAAAGAGGTGTTTCTTAGGCTGATACAACACTGGAAACTTGTGCGGCCTGCTCACCAGGTGGGAAGTTCCGTCTAGGAGGTTTTCTGATTCTTCTCCCACGAGAGCTCATATAGGATGAGCTGCCAGCAGATTTCAGCTGTGATTCTGTAAATAAATACAAAATATCTCACAGCTTATTTGACAAATCACAAGAGCAATTAACACTGTAATGCATCAAGTGGGTCTTCAATTTTTGTTTTGCAGATGCTAGGACAATAAGTACTGACTTGGCATGTAGTCAGCATCAGAGGGGTCATCCTGAAATCCAGATGCATCTTGTGAAGCATTTTCTTTCTCCTTCTGTACAGATATTTTCTTCTGCGCAAAAACAGAGGTGGTTTTGGGGAGTCGTGCTCGGCCCAAGTAGGTGCTTGTTGTGGAAGGCTGAGAAACAGTCTCCTGTGTTTCTATAGATGAGTCCTCCTTTAAACTGTCCTCATTTTGTGTGGGCTCTTTATCTTCTGTGGAGATGCTAGGAGAACTATCCTCTGCTTGAGATGCCACCTCTGCCAGATCATTCTCCAGTTCCTCTCTCTCTTTTTGACCTGTTTTTTCTTCTGGTTTATAAAAAATAAAAACAGGAAAAACAGGTTTCTTTTATAATAAAATATAATGGTCTAATACTGGATATCAAGGCCATCTGATTAATGTGTTCCACACTGTTAATGTGAAATTCATGGAACAGTATCATAATCATCATATTCATAATTTTTAATAAAATGTTAATATCAACTCAATAACTAACACAAATAGCAAAACCAAATTTAAAATGTAAATCTGACCTTTTTTTCTTTATAATGTAGATGAAAAATACAAAGTGTAATTTTGCTACCAACCATGGAGAGAAAGGAAATACATCTTTGATGCCAGCATTACCAAAATATGATACCTCACGCAATGGAAAGTAACAGTTGAGGTTAAACACACTGGATTACTAAATTATTTGAATTAATGATGAATGTTGTTAACTTTATCTGCCTCTTTCTACACAAGCATCAAATTACTGACCTGGTTCAACACATGTAAAATTGAGGGCAGTGATTATAAATATATGAATAGTGATTGTTAATTTAAAAGTTGCAGATGTGAAGAGGACTGGTGTATCCAGTCCAAAATAATTATGCTGAGTATTTACTGCAGCTCTACATTGAAAAGAAACCCACAAAGCTATGGGAATGTACTCACCAACACCAAAATCCAGTGTTATGAGGGAAGGAGCTGGACTTGCCATTGATTGGTATGCAGAGCAAGCATTTACAATCTCTTGCATTTGTAGAAAGTTAGCAACAGCCATCACATCTTCTATATTCTGTGGGCTTAAACTCAGTTTGGCTGTGTACATAAACTCCAGTATCTGACCCAAACCTGCAATGATAATCAGAAATACAATTTTGTATGGTTAGACATAGTGGGGTACATTTACTCTTATTTGATTTAATTACTGTGATTATATACAAAAAACATAGCACTGGAAGACTGAAAAGACAACATTAGTTAAATACATAATATGAAAGCATAAAGCCAGTCTTGAACCTACCTGCTGCATTGCTGATGTCCAGATGCACAACATCTTTCTGGTCTAGGAAGAGTGTGCAGAAGTAGACACTGCAGGCTGCCAGCACAGCTTTGTGGGCCTTAAAGTCCACCCCATCCACAACAAAGGTGCAGTCACACAGCAGGCCCTGCTTACGCTGCCGGTTAAGCTGTTCTAGAACCTTACCACTGTGCCACGGGAAGTCCATCACCCTTGGGGATGGTGGAGGTGCCTGGCAGGCAGACAGGCTCTGTGGAAAACTGTCAAGTAAGATGAATATGTGGCAGATTAGGAAAGACTTAAATGGTCAGCATGAGCCAGTATCAGCCTTCAAAAAACATGTAAATAGAATAGTTTCACAGTATTGAAACTCTTCTGGAACTTTCATTAGTGTATGTTAATTTTATTTTATCACTTGCAATTACTAGCCAAAACCTTTTTAAAAAAATCAGGAAAACAGGCAACTGCACCCAGCAATTCACTCTTATTTATATGCAAAGGGCAGAACTAGTGTTTTTGTCAGGCCTGTAGCTGTGTATGAATAATTCCACAACTAAAACGAACATTTGTACTATCTTGCGTTGTGTTAATACAAGTTACACACGCGTTTTATTAAACATGTAGCTGCTGTATAAAGTGTGTGTGACTTGTTCTTCAATGTCAGTGGTGTCTGGACTCACAATTGTGGAAAATAGGCTCTTTATTATTCTACAGGACACCTCCAGGATAGCAGAGACATGATATCAACCCAACATATTGTTCTAACAGCAACAAATAAACAACCTTTCAAGTTATAGCTAAATAATATACGAAAAGTATTGCAGCACGATAGAATAAAGTTTGATATTAACGTTAGCTAAATACGAGTGGCTATATTAAGCAGAATGGCACCATAATAAAGCTTCCAACTGATATTCTGATGACAATGCCACTTAACTATACAGAAACACCGAATATTAACAAGCAGCAACATGTTTTGAGGCTAGAAATTTACGTTAGCTTTTTATAAAGTTTTGACAGCGTGGTTTGACAGTGCAATACATCGATTACAATTCCTCAATCCTTGTAACTTTGTTATCAGGGATTAATTCAGCGTGCCTTGGCATGCATGTAGCAAAGGGACAAGATGGCGGGATGAGAAGTTCAGCCTGTCATCATCCTTTGTTGTTTTCACAGCTAGCTCATTCTTTGAGCTCAGTGGAAGCGCCATTTTAACATAAACCGATTCCAGAATTACCTTCTTGTTATTGCTGTCTCACACCAGGATCAAACCGCTGGCCCGTGCGATGTTACGGAATGTTTGAGCACTTAGGAAAAACAACCCCAATCGAGTTTTTCGGTGATCGATCCTGCTCCGCTAACTCCATTCACCGCCATCTTACTCTCTCTGATCGATTGATAGGGACCGGCCGGATGTATAATTGGAGCACGCGCAGTTTGTACACGTGATGTGAAGATGACTGCATGGTGGCGCAATAGGTTCGCTTTACATGATTTATATTATTGATCATAATAAGGTTCTTCTGCGTATCCACCACAACCACCAACAGAAACATAAGATGTTAGAAAATGATTTACATGCATACTGTGACAGTATATAGGTGGAGGCACCGATGTAGTCTGCTAATGGTAAACCCACCCAAAACGCGTTAAGATCTTAATAGACTGTCTTTAAATTTTCACTGTAATCTTAAATCACCATCATTCAAAAACATGGGGGAGCCTACTATACACTACTGAGTGGTCTAAAATGAATAGATAACGTGTATTGTAATAATGATGATATCAAATCTTTTCCAAAGCAAAGGGAGCCTAAAACCATTGATTTCCAGGCAGTACAACACTTTAAATTATGTCGCAGTGTGTTTTAATCATGTGTGGCCCTCCTTAGCTAAAAGCTCTCCAAAATGAAAAGAAGACAGTATGACTCAAACACAGTGTAGCAAATTACACCCATGTAACAAAAGCCTCTGAATTATTTTGTCTGAATAGCGCCTTTGAATTTTCTTTTCTCATGAAATCAGGACAGATGCCTCATAAATGCCTCCATAAATAAAAGACTGAACAGAAGCACTGTCCATCTTCACTACAGCCGCTGAATAATGTTCTGTTTCTATTGATTTGGAGATTAGTCTGTAATGTAGTGCTCAAGGGTTACCCAAATTGATATTTGGTTTAGACCATTTAATTTATTTTAGTGTGAATATATGTGAGAAAACAAGTGGTTGTTAAGCCACTCATACTTTCAATTAATGCATATGGTTTAGTCATAAGCATGTATGGCAATACTCTGAATCTTATGCATCCAGCACTCTGTCTCAATTTGCTGTACCTGGCCTGAATGAATTAAATTTTTTCACTAAAAATATATAAATTAAAGTATTGATTTGTCATCATTATATTAACATTTCCACTTTCAAATTCACTTCACTTTGTTTTCTCCTCAAACTCTAGTCCTGTACTTTGAATAAATGCAATGTGTCATTGCCAAACATCATTCATAAGGCTTACACAGAGCAGAATATTCATTGTCAAAGCAGGAGACTTTTATTCACACAGTAATAATGTACAATAAATTACACAAGCAATCATCAACTTTAGAGGTGAGTATTAGGTTTTAGAGCTGTGTTAGAGGACAGGAATGAAATAAGGGAACAGATCCATTAATTGGAGCATGTGTGAGTGTATGTTCTTGTGCAAATCCTATATGTCTGTCTGTTATTTGCAGGTATGACTTATTGCTGCTGTGTATGGTGAACAAACTCAGAATATAAATGAGCAGCATCATGTATTGTTGCAGTCAAGGAGGGAGGACGTTGCATGTTTTATAGTGCACAGTGTCGACTGCATGATAAATGTAGAATGAAGCCAGGAAATAGAGGGAGTACTGTAGCATAAACAACACAAAAAGTGAAGGGGCTGTCAATAGAAAGTCGATCCATCTCTAGATCTTAATTTCGGTGCGAAAGGTCTGTACAAGCTCATGTTTGGCAGGGTGTCGTCTCGCTTGGACCGTTAGGGTGCCCTCTGTGCCCAGTGATGAAGTCACTGAGGTGGGGTCCACATCCTCAGGTAGCTGGCACTTATGGGTGAATGTGTTCATCACCGAACCATCCTGGGCCAACTGTGAAAGACAGAATATTAGAGATGACTTGGTGTTTTGTGACTGAAGACAGATGGTGTGATTAGTAAATTCTCCTGGTCACATTTATGAATTTGTGAAGACCGCAGATCCCTGTATAATAAGATTTTAGTCTCAGGGTTCCAGCGTGAAAAGACTTTATTGTCTTAACAACTTTAAGACATACAGAAATCTACCAATCCAAATCAAGATCAACCCCACCTTCTCTGCATGAACCTCTATCTGGTTGTTGGATGTGGTGACAATGACATCTTCGGGGGAGAAGTCTCGGACATCAACGGTGAATTGGTATGAATCCCCAAGAGTTTTAATATTTCCAGGTCCACCTGAAACCACCACAAGAAGAAAACAATTAGAGCACAGGAAGAAACAGCAGTGTAGTTTCATTTGTCTGGTGATTTATTTTCACTGAATTTTCATTTACATTATGTGAATAAACAGTGTCTTTTCAAGATTCTGCAGATTTAATCTTGGATAAAAGATTTCAATTGTTTATTCAGTTTCATTACAACCTACTAAAACAAAAATGTAATTATGAAATAACTGACCATAAAAACCTGTCTTCAATGCTGACTTTTGTTTGGACAAAAGAAGCAAAGAACATCACATGCTCTTGACCATGGAGTTATTACAAAATTAAAAAAAAAAATCTTTTAATTAAAAGAGAGTTGCGAATGTCTTTTTCTCTGTTAGTGAGCAAAATGCTAAACTTTATGAATAGGCTTTTTGTGGTTAAATCATAGCTTGGATGTCCACCATAGCCTCTTGCCTGAATATTGTATATGATAGAACTCAGTCACTGTAAAGTCACAGTTCAGGTATAGCTATGGTGTGATTTCAGCATTTGATGTTTCTCTTTCTGCTTTTTGTAACTTTCCTTTAAGAAAACTTCATGCCTCCTTTATTGTAGCTTGTGGATCTCCAGCATGGAAAATAACTTGCTTTTAGGAGTAGTTTATGCCCGCTGCTCACTTTCCTTTTAGCTCATGTTCTGGTCTTCACCAACTCTTGAGTAAAAAAACAGGCTCCTTAGCTGCTAAATGCTCTTTAATGTTTAATAGTTATTTGCTATGGTTGAGCGCAAAAAAACCAAAACATAAGCAAAAAGAAGCTAAAAAAACATTCTACCGGGTGATAATTATCTGTGGGTTTGTCTTTGCAGATATAATAATCTGATCCATAGTAATTAAAAAAGATTATTAGAGCAGCTATAATAATTTGTATATGAAAGAGTAAGAGCTTACAGCAATGAAGCAGATGATAATCATGTAACCTGATGCATTGCCCAGTGTCAGTGACAGTGACAACTATCTGTCCCCAGTGATTGTGAGCTCAGAAATATGACCTCACACATACCCCCCGGACTGGAAATGAGTGTGTGGAAATAAGTGGCATTAGCTTTGACTTGATATATGCAGGCTAATTTGATTATGTGACATCATTCTAACTGTGCAGTTATGAAAGAGGTATTCAGATTCTTTACTTAGGTCAAAGTAGGAACACCACAGTACAGTCAACATTACACAATTAAATGTAATTAAAATACTCTGTTACAAGAGTCCTGCAGTTAAAATGTTACTTAAGTAAAATCATAAAAGTATTAACATCAAAACATACTTGAAGTACCAAAGGTAAAAGTACTCAGTACTCTGATCATATGTTCTGACAATTATAATTCACATTACATTTACATTGCATACTGCTGGAAATCTTGCAAATTTTATTACTTATTACTATACTCTATCTGATTCTGAAAATGACTAAATTATCAAATACATATAGTGCAGTAACAAGTAAAATATTTGCCTCTGAAATGTAGTGAAGTCAAAATATGAAGTAGCAGAAAATGGAAATACTCAAGTAAACTACAGATACCTCAAAATTTTACTTAAGTATTTGAGTAAAAGTACTCAGTTACTTTTCACCATTCCATCTGTGTTAGTGTGTGTATATGTACTGTATGTGTGTGTGTGTGTACACTGTTCACCAGGCAACCATCTGGTCATTTCTTATGCAGGCGTCATCCCAGATGCTCAATGTGTGAAGTCACACTGCTGGCAGTCAGTCCAGCATTCCCCGGCTTGTGTGTATGTGTGTGTGTATATACCTTTCTTTCCCTTTTGTTGCACCCAGCTTCAAGCTCCAGTGCTGCATCTATATGATACCAACCACTCCAAAACAATCCTGCTCTGCCCCTGCCACACTGAGCATATGGACTCCGAGGCCATGTAGCCCTTGGGAGTCGAAGATCACGTATGTTCATGTTATATGTCAAAGTGTACAAATAATTGTTAGGTCAAAAAATGAGGTTGTGCTGAAGAAAGTTTTACCAGACATTGGCATGTTAAACCTATTTTCATGTGGTACATAAAGGTCAATTCAGAACTATTACAAATTAGCCAAAATAGTCAAGACTCCTTTAAAGTTCACACTTTCACCGTGTGCACCTTAAGTGAACATATACAGAAGAGTGTAGCAGTGGCGACATACAAGTGCCTACAGGCTTTCTGATTTTATATTCTGTATTCTTATTCTGTTTGTACTTTGACACATTTTTATTGTACAGGAGTATATATAGTTGCTTACAGACCTTGGTTTTAAATTTGTGTAATTTTAACTTCCTTTTCGTTAGTTTATGTGTCTTAACATGTTCTGCTTTTATTTTGATATGATTTGCCGTGAAGCACTTTGAGCACCCTTGGGTGTTGCAAAGTGCTATATAAACAAATAAATCCACACCAGCTGAACCAGACACTATAAAGTGTAGTGCCTGCTGACCTTAACGTTTATGTTAACACACAACTGACAAACTTGGATTAGAAATCTGACCAAAAAAGCAGCTCCAGCTGTGTTCTCTCACATACATCAGTTTAATTTTCATCTTCTTTTTCTTTTTACACTTACTGTAAGCTACTCCATCAGTCAGCTCTATGGCTACACATTTACACAGAAGCACTCAACAACCACACCAGGGTACCTTTGCCTTTTAAACTGACTCCTGCTTGTTGTCTCCTTCCTCTGAAACGTCACCTCAGACATGTTGTTTTATAACCACTTTATAGAAACAACACAACACTGAATATAAATAGCTTCCAAGCCGAGGCATAAATCTACTGTACAGTCAGAACTGTCACTTCAGCCTGCCACTGCTATTGTTTTTATACCGCTTTTGTATACCAAATAGATTACAGAGGCCTGAAATTCCAACTTACTGGAAAACCCCAAGGCGTCATTCCCAGGCCTCATGAAGGAGCCAAAGTCCTCAGCAAACAGTCCACGATTTTTCTCCATGTATGGGTTAGCAGAAGATGAAGATGAGGATGAGGATGAAGTCTGGTGGAAACTACGCTCCGATCGATAGGCAGAGGAGTTGGTCACACTCATGGGTGGCTGTGAGCGGCGGGTAAGCTGAGGAGGAGAGTAAAGAGAGAGAAAACGGAGGCGGAGAGAGCTGATTCTTCTAGTAGCCACTCAGCGAGTTTTTCAGAGGCTTAAATGTAGAAATAATACACACAGCTCATTTGTCTTCCTTTTCCTTTTCTTGTTTATATTAGGTAAGATAACTTATTCTTCTACTTTCCTGCAGTTGTTCAGCCATGGGCTTTATATACTGCATGGCCCCGCTGTGGGAGGTGTGCACGTGTGTCACAGCTCGTTGGGAAAGGGTAATGGTGTTCTATATTTATCATGAGATGCACAGAGCAATGGAGACAAGGCTGTGTGGCTGGAAAAGCTCTGAGTATTGAAGGGCCCTGAGGTTAAGAGCAGGGGAGAGAGTGGGATCTGATAAACTGAGGTAGAGAAAGAGAGTGACGGGGCAACAGTTGTCATTCCACACACACCAGCCCTGAAATAGCTTCCCTCTCTTCTTTTCAACTCCCCCTGTGCTCCATCACTCCATCTGCCTGTTACTTCTGCTTTCTTAATATTCAGTGCTGTGTCTGTCCTGCAATTGGTTCCTCACATGGTTTTGCTATTAAATGACAGAGTACCCAATGTTTTCACAGCTCGGTTCCATCTCATTAGATTTTGGGGGTTTTCAGGCCCCAGCTCCAATTAAAATCCCACTTTAAGTCATCTGTTTATTGATTTAATGTCTTTTTCTGAACATGCAATATTAAGACCAAATGACCTATTGGAAAATGCAGTTTCTTTCAGCTGAGCTGGATGAAGAGAGGAAAGTGCATTAAAAAACATAAAAGAAGCCCTGCCTCTTATCTCAGTGGATAAGTTAAGAGCAAAACAAAGGTGGAAAGAATGTGCTTGAAAACAAAGCCATCAGTGGGAGCAGGGGACTTAGTAGTGGCATTGCTTTGTGGCTATTAATATCTGCATGAGCGGCACAGCCCATCGTGATTATAAAACACTCGATGCTCTCTAGTCTAGTTAGTGTTTCTGACAGATAATCCATTAAAAATCATTTATGGATTATCAGCATCTGCCTGTTATGACACTAGGTATTTGACTTGTGTTTGACTTGACTTTATTCAATCACAAGTTGTCCATAATTTACTGATGACCTCTATATGACACATGCAGCACATGACTGGTTTATTGGCTGACACCTCAGTCTCAACATCAAATATTTGCCATCATCACAGTCATTCAGAAATTGAAATTCATGGCAGTCCACTGTTGAAAGTAATACACAAAGGTTGTCACCTTTTGGTCTGAAGCCATGTTTGAAAGGTTAGCCAGCATTACAAATGGCACCACACAGTGTTATTTCTTATCGGTATAGAGCTCATAGCCCCCCTGCTGAAGGTCTAAATCCAGCCCAGCAACTCACCACCTCCTTGCCAGGGAGCACACAGAGCTTCCTCCCCTCCCTGGTAACAACACTGTTTAACACCTCTGGTAGAGCTGACACTGAGACCACAGACTGAAAAATGTGCTATCAGATGTCCTTGATGTTATACATTTTATTAATTCATTCTACCATGTTTTTATACAATGTAACTTTTAACTTGCTAAACAAGGTAGAAAACAGTAATAAACGATTTTCTGATGGACAAATTATGCTCATTTTTCTAACTTTTCTCTAACCTTTGCTTTTTTGTGTGAAATACTGGGTAATTTCACTTCTTCAGGCTTTTCAGGCAACACATTCCCAAAAAGGTTGGGAGCGTGTGATGTTGCTGTTCCTTTTCACAACACTTAAAAAAACATTTAGGGACTGAGGACACCAAGTGATTAAATGTGTCGGGTGGAATTTTGTTCCATTCTTCACAACAGTCCTGGGTCTTCGTTGACACAGTTTTCATTTCAAAATGTGCCACACATTCTGTTTTGGGGACAGGTCAGCAGGCAGGTTAGTCACTCACACCCTTTTCCTCCGCAGTCCAAAGCAGTCGACTGAGCTTCTGGACTCTTTTGACATAGATCTTCCTTTTGGCACAGTACACTTTTAAGCAGCATTTATGGATGTAACTACATATTGTAGTGCCTGACACCGGTGTGCCAATGTAATCCTGAGCCCATGTGGTTATATTGCTTATGGAAGAGTGACGATTCTTGATGCAGCGTCGTCTGCGGGATCGGAGAGCACGGTCATCTGGCTTAGGCTTGCGCCTTTGCCCTTTACGCACTGAAATCCCTCCAGATAACCTTGAATCTTTTAATCATGTTATGCACTGTAGAGGGTGGCACATCCAAATCCCTTCCTATCTTTATTTGAGGTCTTGTTTTCAATGTAATACAGGACACAGATGATTTACAAATCACTATTTTCAGTTTTGCTTTTGATTTTACATACCCTCCCAGCTTTTACTGATTTGGGTTGTATTATAAAAAAGGCTGAATTAAGAAAAAATCTATAAGCAGCATCATTTCATCAGCAGTGAGTCAAGCTTGACCTGACTGACCAGGGTAGGCTGGTATTTAAAAGTAATTACAGCAAATGGAAGATGAGTGGGTGTGCAGGGGAGCTCCAATGCAGAGGAGCAGAAGAGAGGGGATGAGCATTGGTGGTGAGATCATACATGCTGGACAAAGCTGAGAGGATGTCATGGGAGAATGCAGAATAAAGACCAAGAGGTGTGGAAAACACAGGAGAGACAACAGTGATGTTCACTGCACTGACAACATCCAGACATTTATTGTCCAAGCCTGGTGGAATTTGAATGCCTTATAATCATTTATCGCCTTCAAATTATGTGGAAATGATTACCAATTGTGCACTTACTCTATACTTACTGCCTGGTATCAATATTTAATATATTCAAATGATAAGCAGAAAATATACAGTTCTCTCTTGGTTTCAGTTTGGCTGTGGGGATGGGAAGAAGCTTCTGATGAAAGAATCTAACAGGTGTATGCGGGAGAGCACAAAAACTAAAAAAATAAAAACTAGAATTACCACCATGCGGTTGCATGCCTCAAGTCAGTCAAGTTCACAGGTATGGCAAAGAAGTGATGTTACTGACCTTGACCTTTGACCACCAAAATCTAATCAGTTTATCATTGAGTCCAAGTGGACTCTTCTGCCAAATTTGAAGAAGTTCAAGGGGTTCATGAGATATCACGTTCATAAAAATGGGCTGTACAAGTGTACGGATGGACAACCTGAAAACAAAATGTCTCTGGCTGTGACTATTGCTGGCATGGAGGCATAAAAAGAGAAAGAGAGAGAGAGAGAGAGAGAGAGAGAGAGAGAAACATCACCAATAAATAAGTAATATTAAATATGACTAATAATAAGAGCAGGTCAGGAACACAGAGATTATAAGACTGACAAACAAGAATGACAGACTGGAACGAAGAAACATAAGCAATGAATATTAGTAGTCAATGATTCATGTTGTCCCTCCAGTTACATTGAGTCACCTCTATGTGCGCTTGTGAGCGCATTCCTGTCTAGTAACACATAAAACACAGACACAAACAGCAGTGTTTCCATCACTTCAGGGGACATTATACTGGCTTACATTGATTTCCTGGAGACCTACCCTACCCTAAGCCTATCCTCACTCAAAACTAATGCCAAGTTGTCAACCTAAAATTGAATTATTTACATGGAGGGGACCAGCATCTGGTTCCCCCAAGGAAGGCTGGGCCTGCACCATGTGAGTGTGTAAACAGGCTTTGGTCTCCACAGTGGAAGTTATGCCAGGCACACACACACACACACACACACACACACAGTGCCTGGGTTGTGCCTGCTTCAGCTGCTGTGTGTTATGTAATGTTGCAGACAGAGGGACAAGTCACACAGTGATAAACTGTGGCTGAGCTGGAAGGCCATCTCCCTACTACTAACCTATATGCATAAATAGTAGATGGTCAGCTATATATGCAAATGTAGTTATACAGGTATTGAACAAGAAGACCCTAAATAAGATTGGCAGCTCTGTTCAGCATCTTCACAGACCTTCAGAAACCTTCCTCTATAAAAAGCTGCACTTCCATTTCACCCAACAATATAAACATTTAACAATATAAACACTGTGCACTTGTTGGACAGAGTAAAATTAAAATAAAAAGGTAATTTGATTAAAATTGCAAATATTTACATTTGTGTTCAAATGATTATTTACATTTTTTATTTAATAAAATGAAAAATCTCAGCAAAAATTATGTTAACTGCTGCATGTAAATCCAAGAAGGCTCAACGGTGGCTGTACTCCCTGAGGAGGTTTGGCATGTTGCCTAGGATCCTTTGCAACTTCTACAGCCGCATCACTGAGAGCATCTTGACCAGCTGCATCACTGTCTGGTATGGCAGCACTACTGCTATGGACCTGAAGCACCTGCAGAGAGTGGTAAAGACTGCTGAGAAGATCACCAGGACTCCACTGCCCTCTCTGCAGAGCATTTACCACCGCAGGGTGGGTAGGATCTCCATCCTCAAGGTCAAAGATCCCACCGACCCCTAGGATGGACTGTTCTTACGAGATTCAGAAATGTGAAGTGCAGGACCACTAGACTGAAAAACTCTTTCTTTCCCTCTGCCATCAGACTCCTAACCAGCTGAGGCGTTTATTACCAGGAAATATGTCATGTACTGTCGACCTGTACTGTTTACATTCTCAGTTTGCACATTGACTGTTGCACATGCTGCTCCCATGCAGTATACATTCTCTTATTATATTGCTGCTTAAAGTGCCTTAGATTTTGTGTTATCTACTTTATATTTTATTTGCATTCTGTGGCATTCATGGGGACAGCGAAGTAAGAATTTCACTGTACAGGGAAACATTTAACTGTGCATATGACAAATAAACACTTTGACCAATAGCAGAGAAACCAAGCAAATTTAAAATTGATTTGCTTACACTGTTTTATTTATAACTTGATTGAAACTACTGTAAACCATGGCACATATTCATTGTTTTTGGCCACTTGGGGGTATCAAAACAAGCTGAAAAGAGATGCTACCATGCTTGTTTGGTTTGAATTTAAACAAAACACTTAAACACATAGCATTTTGAAGCCACTGCAACACAACCCTTTGTCTGTCTGGTGTTGTGCCTCTATCCTATAATGGGTTTGTGACAGCTATTTCACTGAGAAGAGTTTCCTGCAGCTGCTGAATAATGGGACTGATCAGAGTGGAGTTTGAGGTCAGAAAAACAAAACAATTAAGGCTGTGTCATTCTGAAATGTGCTGAAGAGTCAGATGTTAATTCTCTATGGCTTTGTTTCTATGAGCAACCCCTTTCATAGCACACATAGTCCATCGCTCCATATTGATCAGTGCAGGGTTAAGTCAGCCATAAAATTACATGACAGGTAAAACTTAGACTCCAGTGCAATCACTTTTATCATTGCTAGTATACTATATTACAAGAGCAAATGTACAAATTGAATACAGAACACAAAACATCATTATGTCAGTATTTGGTGTTGATCACAGACAGGGGAGATGAAGGTCGTTGCAGGGTAGAGCTGCAGAGCATAAGGGTCACTCACTGGCCGGTCAAGTTGAGATGGTCGAGGCTGAAAAACAGGCAGAAGATCACGATGAGCAGAGAGAAACAGGAGAGGAGAGCACCGACCTGGTTGATAGATGCTAGTCTGGGGGTAACAATAGTGGTAGGTCCAGAGGATGACAGCTCCGTGTGGAGGATAATAGTCCAGAAGGGGAGCTGACAGCAGGAACAGGCGAGGAGAAGGCTAAGAGGATAAAGGACGTTAACTGGAATGGAATACACAAAGACAGTCTCAGGTTAGGTTGAACAGCACTAGTCATCTGTGTGGGAACAAGAACAAACTGGCAGTGAACCAGTAGGAAATGGGTAGTTATAGGAGACGGGTGATTGCAGGAGTGACAACAGGTGGTGATAATAAGGATAGCTGGCAGGTGTGTGGAGGAGAGAGGGCAGGTAAAATGGAGCAGCCCCGAAACAGAGGACATTTTACTTGAACCTTTTCGCTCTCAGAACATTTAATTTATTGTGTTTGTAAATGTTTTCATATTCACTTTTGGTTTTGATTAAAACCTGTTACACACTGTGACTCTTTCAATTATTTGCCAGAGGAGAAACTTCTCACATTGTCAGTGATAATTGTTTATGAGAGAAAAGTAATCGAACTTTTTGACTCACTCTCCAGTCACCTCAGTGTGCTGTTTCCATGGAAATGCTTTTTTTTTTTTTTAACTGAGAAAAGCAGTGTGTATGTAATTTCCATCGTGGAGGCCACATACATGTGTGTGTTTGTGTTTGTACAGCATGTGTGATTGTGACTGATGCTCACAGTATTTCAGATCTCTAAAATTACACAAGTGCTATCTGAATCCTAAAAAGGAGGCGGGACTAAGCAAAACAAAGTTTAACTAAGTGCTAATTTGGAGTCTGTGTGCACAGGTGTATGTGTGTGTGTGTGTGTGTGTCCCCAGAACTGAACAATGATTACCTTGACCTTGAGCATGCTGCAATTCGGAAAGCAAAGCTTGTTTTCCTTCAGCACGTCAGACATTTCGAGGGTTCAGGAGAGTGTCTGTGAAATTGATTACTGACATAAGGAAAGTCATTAACAGTGACATCTGCTCATATCCATCTGAGATGTAAAATGATAACCATGCTGTTCACTGCTCTCAGTGTAGTAATAATACTAATAAAACTTGTACTTTACCAGCTTGTTTCTAACATTAGCTTTATTAATCTACAGCTGCGTAATTGTTTTTGGTCTGTTTGGAGCATCTGTGCCTCATGACGACGACATTATAGAGCAGTGGTTTTAAGAGTGGACCCTGTCATTCAGCGCTACTCCCCTCATCAATGGTTTTATGCAAAGAAAAGTAGCAACGCACCAACAAAAGCAATGAAGAAGTGGACTGATAGAAAACATGGATGTAAACAATGAAGGTTTGAAATGATGTATTCATAAGGCCTCAAAAAAGACAGAAGAGCAGATTTTTTCCTAAATAGCACGAGTGATTTAAGAGAACAAGAGGTATTCACCAATTCTCTCATACATATAATTTTAAGTACAAAAGAAATTCCAAATAGGTGCAGACCTTTTGTATGAGTTACGAACATTCATTTTATCATCTGAATCCATTTGAAGTTTAAATGCTGAAATTAACCTAAAAGATATAATAAAGACAAACCTAATGCAAAATTACTTTTGTTCACAATATCACCATCACCAAGGCCAATGCACTGAGGTTTTTTTAATTTTATTGGCATAATTTTGGTACAACAACTTCTATTTAGTAGAATAACTCTCACTTCAACTGCTGCCTCAGGATCTCTACTGATGTTCGTGCCCACTGTCATCCTCTGTTGCAGCTGTTACCTCTGTCACCACAGCACAGCTTTGCTGTAACACATTGTTAGTAACTTAAACAGCACTGCTGACAACAATAAATTTGTCCATGCATTTATTATTTATACAGCTTATCCTGAAGAGAGTCATGGGGGTGCTGGAGCTTATCCCAGCTGACACGGGGCGAGAGGCGGGGTCCACCCTGGACAGGTCACCAGTTTATCAGAGGGCTGACACTTAGACACAAACAATTACACATACCCACACTCACTCCTCGAACCTTGTTGCTGTGAGGTGACAGAGCTAACCACTGCTCCACCATGCTGCTGATTATGCTTTTTTAAAAGGCTAAAATGTCAAAGTACATATTGCTTTATGCGCATAAAACTGTTTCACCGCCGAGCAGTTTAAACCCTGGGTTTGACTTCCAGATCAGGGGCAGTAAACGTCATTGGCAATAAAAAGCTCACTTTACATTTTTAACCATTCATAAATTCAAGGCGTCATATCTTTATATTTAGACCTAATGTAAGGAAAAGGTGCTCTTTTACATAAATACTTTCACCTGTTAGGGTGGGGGGAATGGTAAGAAAACCTGTGATGCTGTTATTCAGAGAAGACAAGTGATAATGATGAAAAAGCTGCATTCAGCAGGGTGAGCTAGTTCTGGTTTAGTCAAGAAAAAATAGAAGACAAAATCATACACAAAGACCTCCACATCTCACTTTAAGCATACAGACTGCTGTCAAATAAATAGCCTTTGAAAAATTCAAGGTATTATGCTCAGGCTAGTATGAATAGAAAAATCTTTGTTACAAACTGAATAAAACCGGTGGCTTCCTGGTACTTCCAGGGTGTAATATAAAAGTACTTTGTAGATAGGGGGGGACATCCATCGGCTACCATTTTCTTTAATACAACACCTGTTCACTGCACACTGCTCCAGCTTTTCAAAGGATTCAGCTGACTTGGTTTCTCATTTATATGATATTGAATGTATTTCCTGTGCTTTATACAGTTCTTTTGCAGTTGCTGTTGCTATATTTTTTCTGTCAGGTATCCTCTAAATTTTGTTACTTCACAATGATTTCTGTTTTGCAGGTAAATGTCAATATGCTATTAAGCATGAAAGCAGCATTTGTGTTATGAGGTTACTGTTTCTGCAGTGTTGTTAATAATATCATCAAAAATGTATTAAAAAGTACAATGAAAATGCTTTTCTCTTACACTGCATAGCTGCAATCCAGACAGCTGAAGGGCACTTACAATGTTCCTCCAAAGAGTTAATATTAGCTACCCTTTCAACCGTGGCCGTTTCACAACCTCTAGCTAATACCATAACAGAGGTCACTTGTGCTACCAACATTCACATGTAACCATATGGACAAATATAACGCTGTCAAGGTAAGTCTGGGTGTATTTGTATTTTGCAGAAGCTATAGTAATAACATCACATTTTTAATCTTTATTCCTGCAGTGTTTGTTTAACTGTACCAACAACACAAATATTTCAAGGCAAAATGAAAAGTCTGGATGAGGCTCCTGGGAGAGAAGCAGACCAAGAGAACAACAACGCAGAGCCAGAAAATCAATCGGAAACATCCCACAATAAGAGCCCGCTCCTTCCTGATTCATGGAAACCATATCAACAGTCCCGTGCATTTGTCAAAGGTCAGACTGAAGTGGAAAATCATCCAGATGTGATCATCACTGACCAGATCAATACAGTATCTAGTTCACAGCCAGTCTCCATTATGCTTGTGATATCATACAAGAACGCAAGTTTTGTTTGACCTTGAGGCCATAGATCGCTGTTGAAAACAGACAGGTGTCATAGAATTCAATGCCATTTATGTCTTTTTTGCATTTAAAAAAAGAATGTTAAATTGTTTTACTCAGTATTGACTGATTTTTATATTTCATTTATATTCATTGCCCACACTTAATTACAATGTTACTGTTATTTTGCAAGCTCCTTACATATGATGCATTTCAGTTTCACATAACATTTTTACATATTGTTATTTCAGTTCTAGGGTTCTGTGAATTGACCTCTATTTGGTCAGTGTTTCTCTTTCTCTGTAGCCTCTTACCATTTTTATCTGATCATATTCCAGGTGGAAATCCTTAAAGTCTTTTTAAATCCCTTTTCCATTGCAGGAACTTCACAACCCTGGGGCATCGGAATAACATTAATCTTGTGAGGCTTTGGTCTTAGGTTCTTCCTTGTATATCCCTTGTATGTTACAAACCATGTCCAGTGGTGACATGTACTGTTTGGTCAATGAGTAAAGCAAGTGACTGTGGGACAGACAGTGGAAGGAGCATGATACTGATGTTTTTATAATGCGCTTTTTCTCTTCACCTAAACTGAGAAATCTTCTTGTTGACCTTTTTGTTTCTAATTGCTGACTCCAGTTCCCTCTCCGATCTAATACTTATATGTATGAAGGCCTGGAAATGTTCTCAACTGTTTTATTTTTCATCTAGTTTAGACACTGCTGACTAATCCCCATTAAGCTATTATATAGTGTGTGATTTGAGGCTCTGAAAATCAATTCAGTTCGAATTGTCTTCTGGCCAAGTGCCTCATCATTCTAACAGAAATGCCACTGTGCTAAAAAAAAATCTCTCTTCGTTCTTACAGACAATATAGTATTTTATTTTGATGTATTTTTTGATGTCACACATGTCTGAGGCACAAATTACACTAGGTTAACTTACATTTTTGTGTCCACAGGGTGGCTGTTGAAGCTGAGGTGCTGTTTGGGAGCAATGTGTAGGATGGAGTGGTATGGCTATGCTGCTCTTGGCATTTTGACAGCCTTCCTCAGCTTCCTCATGGACCTCAGTGTAGCGAAAGTGCTGCGAGGTAGACACACACATGAACACACACACACACGCAGAACAAAGAACAGAGGTGATTAGTGTCTCTTGTTCCCGTCACTTGTAGCTCACCAGTGGCTTTATGTGAAGCTGGAGGGCAACAGTCTGCTACAGTTCTTCTGCTGGACTCTTTACCCATCATGCCTCTGTCTCGTTGGATCAACATTCTCCCACAACATCTGTCCCTTCTCCACAGGTCTGTCCAGCAACAGTAGAAATAGTATTTTCCACAGACAGTAGTTTCCTTTTTGATTTCCAGCCATACAAATAATAACTGTCTTGGCTGAGTGGAAAAAGGAGTCTTTTCTATCCATGTAGCTTCTATTAAATTATTCTGAAATCATTCCACTTTCTTCATTTTCAACTGTTTGATTGATTCAGTACCTCTGGGTTTTTCCAAATATGTTGTCCTGTTACTTCATTTCTCCTCAGGCTCAGGGATACCAGAGGTGAGGACCATGCTGGCTGGCTTTGAAATGCCTCACTACTTGTCTGTCACTCACTTGTTTACCAAGTATGTGGGCCTAATCTGTACACTGGCGGCCGGCAGCACTATTTTCCTGGGCAAGGTGGTGAGAGATGTTTCAGTATACCTAAGTGTCATACAGAATATGTTGTTGCCCTTTTGCAACCATTAACAGGTTTTTTTTTCCATTTGTCACTTTATATCAGGGTCCATTTGTGCATCTTTCTACTATGGTGGGGGCCTACCTGAGCAACCTCTGCAGTCTTGTCCGAGTCAATAAGAACGTAAAATCATAGTACTTCTTTTACTTCTTAACCCTAACATTGTACACATCCATATTTTTCTATTAACAGTGGATTAAATGGCTATGTGTAATGTGTAAGGTGTCTCTTATAGTGACAAACCCACAGAGAATTACCTCCAGATTCTGCAGTTCCCCTCAGCTGTTTTCTGCTTTAAAGGTCTGATAAACCCACTGTACACCACCTGCCCAGCAGTTAGAGGCTAGCTGGTGAACATACTGGAGTATCTGGCAGGTAAAAAGCCAGATATTTCCTTCAGGGGTTGGTGGAAACCAAGACAGAGCTAAAAGGAGAGTGAATTTTGGGCTCACATTCGACTTCAGATTAATGCTAATGTTGAGCATGTTCATTCTTAACCTTGGAAAGAGTAGTTTAAGTTAGGAGTCTCCATCTGCTGATGAACATCTTGAGTAAAAAAGCCATAACTTCACCAAGTCCAGATTGGATTGTAGAAAAGAGATACACACATTCAAAATCTCTTCAGTGCCGTGCTTAACCAAACACAACCTATATATATTAAAAAAAAGCTTACTTATGTAAACAATCTGAGCACTTCTTAGGATAATCACCTTTATTGACCAAGTATGTTACACACAAGGAATTTGTTTCCGGTACAGAACCGATGGCAGCTATCTGCGGCGTCAATTCAACTGATGGCTCTAACCATCAGGGGCAACTGGGGGGTTCGGTGTTTTGCCCAAGGACACTTCGACACATGGACTGCCAGCACCGAGATTCAAACCTTCAACCTTCTAGTTGGGAGACAACTGCTCTACCCACCACACCACTGTCGCCTCCCCCTTCTTGCATCATTGCAAAATAAATCCACCTAAAAACAATGGATCTGAGTCACCAAATTGGAGCTATATGGAGCTATATAAGTCACATGACCTGTGCATAGCTGGTTGAGTGGGTTGTCTTTTCAAGTAGCTTTTCTTTTGTTACTTCTTTCTGTATGATAGAAAAGAAGAAATTACATTACAGATTCTTTCTCATTTAGGACAAAGCAGCAGGAGAAATGTTGGTTGTAGCTGCAGGAGTTGGGGTGGCCAGCTGCTTTGGAGCACCTATCAGTGGTAAGAGAGCCAGTAAAGGTTCTGCATCAGGAACCCAGATTCTTTATGAATCTAGTCAGACTATACCTGGCCTTCTCACATTTATGTTAATGTGAGGGCTAATGTGTTTCCACCTTTGATTTTCCCTCTTCAGTCTTCACATACTGCATTTACTCTTTGCTTTTATCTTCCCTCACACCTCTGCATCTCTGTCATGTTTATATGTTCATTCCTTTCTCATCTCTTCCTCCTTTAAACACCACTACACTGAATTTCATCCTCACATCACTGTATTAATTTTTGTTACTTTGTTGGGGATTCAGTACCTCAAGTTCAAACTCTATTTGCACTCAAACTGTAAGATGAATTTAAAATGTCAGAATTTACATAAACTGTGTAATGAGGCTACATTAAGACAAAAGAAAATGATAGGAGGAGGTTTTTTTAATCAAGAATAAAGTGGAAATGTCATAACATGCAAAATAAAAAATCTTCTTCCTCTATTTTTTTCATTTACTGTGGCCCCAATACTTGTAAACATTACACTGAACGTATGTTCACATTTCTATTTTTTGGACTTATTTTTTTAAGGACTTGCTTTTCTTGCAACTCAGGCTGATAGTAAAACTATGACATTATACTGTCTCAAGAGCTCTACTCTTCATACCAATTGCTGTTTTGTCTAAAGCGACTTCATAACTCTCACCTCCATCTTTCTCTGTTGTTCCTTTGTCTCTCCCCTCCTCTGCTCTTGTAGGCGTGTTGTTCAGCGTGGAGGTGATGTCTTCTCACTTTGCTGTGAAGCATTACGTCCCATGTTTCTTCTCAGCTGCTTGTGGAGCATTGACCTTCCGCCTCTTTTCAGTATGGAGTGGAGATGGAGGTAATGGAGGCCCTGATTATTAACTGCCCCTTCAGTGGTCAGTAAGGAAAGGGTTCATTTTAGAGTCACTGACATCTTGACCTGAAGGAAAAAGGCCACAAAACCCAATAACATGACTGACAATCTAAGATGCATATGGAAACCCCTGCCCACAATCTTCTGTATACTTTTGGTCTGGGGCTGTTGTTTATGGTTTGGACAAAGCCACATCAATCCAACCTCAGTGCTTCAGCACACACTAACATTTTAGATACAGTATGCTCCCCACTTTGTGGCAGCACTTTGGGGAAAGCCCTTTCCCGTGACAGTGAGAGATTGGTGTGGTAACATATCTCCAGGTTACAAAATCTGGTTGACAGCCGTCGCAGAGGGAACTAGCATAATGGCCTATTACCATGAAATGAAGTGTGACACGTGGCTAGAATATTCGGGTGTCCACATGCAGTTTTTTTGGCCATATAGTGCTTGTTCGGAAATCAACAGACAATCCTAGCAATTTGCAAAGGTCTAACAATATGTTTTATTTTGTATGTATTCTTACTATGAAGCTTGATCATAATAAAATGTAACTTGAGTTTGGTTTAAGCATTTTTCTCCCATGAGAATGTCACATTTCAAGATAACACAAAGAATACATTTTTTACGTCATAGTAAATTTGGTGACAGACAATGACCTGGAACATCAGATTTGCAGAACCATTTAAGCTGACTGTAAATTTTATTAAAATCTTCATGCAGTAAAGTAAGGTAAGATTTTAAAAGGCTGTAGAAGAAATTGGAGGAATAACTCCATTTTGTTTTGTGTCCACAGAGACGCTTCAGGCATTATTCAAAACTAATTTCCCCACAGCTTTACCTTTCTACCCACTGGAGATTCTGCTGTTTGCTCTCCTTGGGTAAGTTCATTTTAATATGAACTACAATATTTTTAAAAGTCCTTTATTTGTCCCTGCTTTATAAATAAAAACCCTGACATTTTGTATTCACATCAGTCACAATGACAGGCTTTTGCCCAGTTGTTTTCCTCCTGTTCTGATTAGCAGGTAGTTTTTAAATTAATTCATTCAGTCATTTCCCAGCCTCCTCCTCTTGCCTTCCCCTAAGTCTAATGACTTCTGATTGCTGCCTGGGTTACAGTAAGTGTCTTGGCTCTCACTGTGGATTGAGTCAGCTTTCTGTCTGGAAACAGGCTGCTGTGTGGAGCTGTGAGCTGCTGTTACCTCTTTTGCCACCGATGGATCCTGCGATTCACTAAAACAAATCCAGTCTTCATCAAGATGCTGACGACAGAGTGAGAGCTCAGTCTTTACAATGTGAAAGCCTGATTGCAATGCAGTGATGAGTCACCACCTGTGCAAGGCAAACTCTTGAAACTGGTTCAAGCTGATTGATGGACCAGTGTCCCCAAAAACATGTTCTTTTAAGGATAATCCAACTTACAGTACAGCATGTCAAACATGCTCCCAAATCTATTTCACCTTGCAGACTTCACTACATAATCAAATTATAATGTATAGCAATATAGCAAATGATGAAAAACGATTGTGCAGGGCCTTTTAGGCTACATTTAAATGATATAAATGTCCCTAGTGAGACACTGACACTCCTAAAATATTGGAAAACTGTTTTCTTGTTTCGAATAAAAGCAAACTTAAGTTTTGTAAAACAGTGTAAAGCATAGAGGGGAGTAGTGCTAGTGGTTATTCTGACAAGATCATACAGAGAAGTAAACTGATTAAGCCTTAATTAAATTAAATTTGAATGACCTAATGAAGAATGACATTAACAACGGTGCCTGTATGTGTGAACACCTCTTTGCAGGAAGGGTATGTACTCAGGCATTGTGGCCTTTCTCCTGGCATCTGTGACGTTTCCCCACTTTGCTGGTCAATATATGGCTTCGAAGGTGGGAACCAACAGCATTTAAAGATCCCGTCTCCAGTTTTTCCCAACACAATTAATATGTTGCATCTTGTAGTTGCTGTAATGTTAAGTTGGGTGTTAAATGACAACATTTTGGGAGTGATAGCAGGTTCCAATCTTGTGTTCTGACACCAATTCTTTATGTTCATATACAATTTTGTTTTGTTTTGCCCTATCCAACCAGTAGTATGTGATGTATCCCTTCAAGCATTGTCATTTTCTGTGGCCATGGAAGCTACAGTAGCAGTTGCTAGAAGTAGCATTGTCATTTCTGTAAGTCAATTTGTAACAACCTATAAAGCTGAGCCTAACTAATCCAGGACTGTCTCCATTTTAATCACAAATATTCTGTAACAATTAAAGCAACTGTTGCATTAACCTAAGTAAGTACAGTCTTACAGAGCCACTAGCACAGCTGTAGACTATTCTTGTTGAAAAATGGCAAACTATTACAGTATGTATTTATCACCCATTTTTAAAGACTGATTGTCAGGTGCTGAGAGACACACTAACAAGTAAAAATGTAGAGTAATGCTACCTTATCCTTTAATATTGACCTTTTGTTTCACACCAGCTTTACTTGTGTTTTAGAAAGTAATCTGAATGAGTCGTCTCCTTTACAGTATACCATGAAGCAGCTCCTCACCTCCTTATTGGATAGCAGGCAGTGGAGCTCTCAATCCCACAATGCCTCTGTGCATCTGAAGCCTGAGCCTTGGTTGGAGTGGAGCCCATCAGGGAGTCCTGTCTATTCCTCCTTGACTTTCTTTCTGGTCATGAAGGTACAGATACTGCAAAGACACATTCAGGAGTCTTATCTCTATCATTCTGCACTGACGGCCAACAGGGATCATAACAAGCTTCTCCCTTGGGTCACAGTGACCCATAACTGACCTTTTCACAATAGAGTAAGCGAGCTAAAAACTGTTTAACCTTTGAGGCTGAAATGTCTTGTGATACCTGATGCTCCCTCACAGCAGTGCTGCACATGGGACGATGGATTTTGTGGCCATTAACTGTGAGAACTCTGAGCAGCTTAGCCAAATAACTGCTGAGTCGCTGGTATTTACATGAACCCCTTCAACAAACCACATATGTATTATATTTGTGCTCCTAATGGAAAAAAGCATGCTTACTACTTCAGACAGAAAAGCACTGTGTGTGCACAACACTGAGACCAGTTTCATCTACCAGTCAGTGTAAAGCATGTCGTCTAACTCATTAAGGTCTTTGAGAAATTCCTTTTTCTGAGACGTGCTCAGTAGGATCTACCTACTATGATGCATTTTTTCTCCCATTACCACATGCAAATTTGGAATTTAAATGAGTATGATTCAATATTTATTTGTGCAAACCTGATCTGAGAGCAGTGCAAACATTTTCTGCACACAGACTAACACTGACCCATCTGCTGTGCTACATGTGCTATGAGAGCTGTTGTATGCCCTCAGATGCTTCAAAGATTTGACAGTCTGTTTCTTCTGTTGCTGGTTCTGAGATGTGGATGTTAGTCCTCGCCTGCACTCTGCCTGTCCCAGCTGGATACTTCATGCCAGTCTTTGTCTATGGTGAGTGAAGGGAACGAACTTTGACAAGCTTGTTTTGCAGAACACTTGAATGACCCAAGTTTTACTTTAAATAGGAGGAATCTGTCTCACTGCACCAGGTTGTGAAAACCCTGCAAGGATTTTCTCCAAAATCTAAAGATACAGAATTTTTTTTCTCTTTTTTTGCTTTCTGTTTTCCAGGGGCAGCTTTGGGTCGTTTGGTTGGAGAAGGGACAGTCTTGTTGGTTGGAGATTTATCACAGTCTTCCATAAATCCTGGGGGCTACGCGCTGGCTGGTACAATAACAGCTTTTTTGCGTTTGTGTAGTAATGATGTGCCGGCATCTATGCCTAGTATTTACATCCCTGTACCAATATTTATAAATCATTTTATATATTTATCCAGTGTTCCGTAGCTCTCATAGGAATTGCAAAGCAGCATAAAAATGCAACAGTGTTATATAAAAATGTAAATGTAAATTTGTGTAAAATATTGCAGAGATTTTCCCTGATAACCAGTCTAACACTGATCAAAACTACAATACTGATGTTATAGGTGAAACTCTACCACATCAGAGGAGGACAAATGTGACTGTATTGTTTAGCTTTACAGTCAATAAGGGCCTTTTTCTCATTTTTGTCCTAGAAACCCCGAAAAGGATTAATTTGGCTGTGTATATTGTGTTTTATCAAGTCTGATTAAATACTGATAAACTGATACACATCAACCTGAGGGCAATATTTTTAACAGGTTAATATGTTTTCTGCTTTTAAGGTGCAGCAGCCTATTCTGGGGCTGTGACACATACCTTGTCCCCAGCTCTCCTGGCTATTGAAGTTACTGGCCAGTTCAGCCATGCTGTACCTGCCCTCCTTGCTACTGTGCTGGCCAATTTTGTGGCTCGATCTGGGCACCGCCCATCTTTCTACGATGCCCTTTCTATCAGCAAAAGGCTCCCCCACCTGCCCTCTCTGAAGAAGGCATGCCCCCGGTAAGTCACAAAAAAAGTGCAAGACTCATTAAAGAAATACACCAAGTTTTGGGGTGATCATCATCAGCTGGTAAACAGGGAAAACATAGAGGATTGTATGAACACAGACAATACCCACTTATGGTACAAATTAGCCTTCTGTAAACCGAACCAAATCTGTTAATGCTGAACTGAACCTGACCCACAACCATGTGGATTTCAATAAAGTGTCCTCTCTCCTAGCACCACACCTTGCATTGTTTGCCTCAGTAGTGGTAATTATGTAAAAATAACATTTTATGCTACAATTACATTGTTCCCCTGGGTCAAAGGGACCCAAAATTGAAGGAAAACAATTGACATTTTCACAATAGAGTAACTGAATTTAAAACTATTTAACCTTTGAGGCTGAAATGTCCTGATGCTCACATACACATGCACTGCAGGCAGAAGGGTGGGTATTGTGATTTTTAACATCTAAACAGCAGCCAGCTGAGTAATGTCTGAGTCACTAGTATTGATCAAGAACCCAAACAACCACCCACATATAATTTCAATGTGTCCTCTGAGGGTGGAAAATATGACTGTTGCATGAGCAAGCAGAAAAACTTGCAGAACATGGCAAAATTTTGCATTGATTACAGTTTGTCCCACCTGTTAGAGTAAACCTCTTATAATGCATTAATCTGTTTTCCAGAGTACATCTGCCAGAGGATTACATACTTATTTACCATAACTATTTTTCCATTACCACATGCAAATATGAATATGTAAAGGGGCAACGAAGAAAACTCCAACTCACCTGTCAAGATTCTGTTCCTTGTGTGGTCTTTTACTATTTTTACAGTAAAATATGGGAACAGACCACAATGTATAATTAAAAAAAGTCTTCAATTTATACATAGTATAACCACCAAAAGGGAAACCTTGACATTTTGAATTATGATCAGTAATTTTCCTCCACAGGCACGCTGCTATAAGTAATTATTACTGAAAGCTTTGATTAAAGATAAAGGATTGACTCTGTGCTATTGTGGCTGAAGGTTATGTGAGATCATGTGGTTAAATGTAGAAAACAGTTTTTCATTAAGTGTGACATGAGCCTGCAAAGAAATATACTCAAGATGTTAATCGAAATAAACGAACACATACCCTGAACAGATACATCTCCACACCACCTTGGTGACAGAACTTGGCTGCTGCATTGAGGTTTTTTCTTCCTCATCTGTCTCTCACACTGACATCAAGACAGCTCCTTGTTGACAGCACTCGACCTGAAATGGCTTCAAGCCTCTTCTTACAAACCCAGACACCTCTGTGATCACTTTATTGTCTGCCAGACAACTTAAACTTCTTGAAAATGCTTTTGGAATGTGAACATGCTGAAAGTAGGAACGGCACTGGCTTGACCTTCCAGCCCACATAATATTATACTGACTGTATCAACCTTAGTGCTGACAGTTGATTATTATTTGATCTTGTTTGTGTCCGGGTTCAAACGGGTGAGATCTGCTTTTGTTACCAGAATCAAATCAAACCAATAATTTGTGAAACCTAAGAATAGTGCATTATCCTTGATTTAAAAAAAGAGGTATTTCAATATTTAATTGGTGTCAAATTAAATATTACCCCTGCTGGCCCACCTTAAAGTAATTAATTACATCTGCCCAGATTTCTAATTTAATTCAGCCGCAGCTGCCTTTGCTCCAGGTGTGACAAGATTCATTTCTTTTGCAGGCTGCCCTGCAGCTTCAGAAAGCAGCTGGGTTGGTGGAGGTTCAGTATGCTGTCAACAGCAGCACCGAAACACAAATCCCTGTGGTGGACTCGCATGGTGCGCAGATATTTAATAGTACCATATCTCAGTCTGATGGCTCAGGAATAATGTTTTGTCTTTTAGCCAAAAATGTATGTGAAGATATGATATGTTTGCACAAAGTCAGCAGGATTGTTAAGAAATTGCTGGATTCATATTGGTCAAACACAGAGCCCCAGGAAGGAAAAGGGGAAAATAATGAGACCAATTATGGAAATTGTAACCATTACAAATAATGCAGCAATTCAGCAGTGTGAAAGTGGCTCGACAAAGAACTGACAAGTGTGTGAAAACAGTCAATCGGCCAGCTGAGCCTTTCAGCAGCAATAACACGGATGAATTTTTAAATTGTCACCTAACAACTCAGCTCACTAGAGATCTGCACAAACTCTAAACTGTAGCGCTGACTATGGCAAAGAAAATTGATTTTCTCTCATCTCTTCTGTTGAAGAGTCACAGATTTTACTGGGGTTCGTTCTGCGATCAGAGCTGCTGATGTTCCTGCGTCACTCTAAGACTGAGGTAAAAGGAAGACAGGTAACTGCAGGGGTTCAGAAAGAGGTAGAGGAGTGAACTGTCAGATGCTGTTTAAAAGGCAGGTCATGTCTTTACAAGCCATATGACACTGACTGACTGTAAAAACAGTTCCAAAAAAAAGAGGATGGCAGCCGGATGAATAAATAAGGTTGCTGACTGATGTAACGGTTCATTTTTGACAATGCACAAGCAGCTTTATAGCATTGTAGCAAGACCCATGGGTACACTAGAGAAAGTATGAAATCATTTTAACTACAAATCATCATTTCTCAAGTAATAGTGAATGTTGCTATATGGCAAGCGTAGACTTCACAGAAACTGCATACAATAAATATGTTTGTGCTTCTCTTCAGACTGTGGAGAAACATCTGGATGAGGTCTGTACTATTCACACAATCTCTGTCCTGTTGTCACCTCACAACACTGTTCAGGAAGTAAGTGGAGATTAGGAAATGTCACTGGTTTAGTACAACGTTTCTGTAAATACTCTTATTCGCTTTCTTTCTGAGGCTTGGATGTGGCGATCAATACCACTGCTGTTTCTGTGCGTTAAGTATGATGCTGAAACTGGGAGGCGATTAGCCCATCTTAGCGGTTATAGCCTGTCTGGCTTTCTCCAAAGTTCAAACATGAACCTACAAAGACCTCTAACATTTTGTAGCCTGTTTAATTCACACACAAACAGAAATGTAAAAAATAATGGATAAACTGTTTGAGAAAAAGGTTATAGCACATAACAGGCAGTTAAAACATAGTCTTCAAACAAGTGCTAATGTTACTCCATAGCGATCCGATATGTAATTAAACAACTGCTTACTAGTTAGTTCATCAAATTAAGTGATAATATACAGTACTAATGTTGAGTTCACAGCTTATTTAAAAAAAAATTATTTATTGCAGGTTTAATGAAATGAGCGTGGTATTGATCAGCAAAAAAGTGACTATGGATATTTCCCAAAATGGTCAATATGCTTTTAAAAAGGAATTATCTCATTTTTGCAGGCCCACGGCATACTGAGTCTTGTTGGCACACAGACCTTGTTTGTCGCAGACAAAGGACGGCTAGTCGGGCTCATCACATGGCCAGAGGTAATGAGTTTTGGCATATGTGCTCACACTCACAACAACTATAATCCTCAGTGTTTGGCACATACAAGCTGATTTTTTACATTCCTCTGCTGGCATTTATCTTGTCCATAGGCACTTTGCAAACAAGACCACAACCATGCATGGATTTGTTAACATTATGCGGGCGTAGGAGGCAAACTGGCTACTTGTGAATTCAAAGGAGTCTTTTGCTTTCTCTCCCTCCCTCTTTTTTTCTGTTTTCTCCTCCAGATGAAGAGAATATTAGAAGACTTGGCCAAAGAAATCTAAGCTGCCATACACAGGAAATAAGCTCATCCGCTGACTTTCTTTTAAGATGTGAATCCATCTCTGTCTGATTAGCTTGTAACACAATAATGTTATCACATCTTTATTCCCAAGTGTAACAATATTTGCATGCAAACAAAACTGTCATTAGCTGGAGGCTCATGTGATAACCATTTATCAAAGCTTATTGTCCTGTCTGTTATTGTAATTAGCAAGATTGTGACCATTGAGGAGCTAGCATCTCATTCAGTGAACCACAGTCTGTGACACAGCAGTGCTGAGAGTGTGTCTGCCCCCAGTGGGGATGAAAACAAAAGCGTATAAAAGAGTGTGTAGTGCAGTTAACACAAGAAAACCTCACTAGTTTGTTTTTCCTGCTAAACCACACCTCTCAGTGAATATTGGCTCCTACAGGAGCATATGAATTGTTCTACAAGCTATGTATTCTTTGTATTACTAGAGATCGTGCTGGAGAGCAGGTGATTACTGTGGCCTCCACTGCACCAGCCCAACAAAAGTATTAGAGCCTTTTACACATTATGAAAGGGCTTAAAGGAGGGTCAAAACACAGCAATTTGCCACAATCCCTGACCTTACAAAACCTGGCAAACTGCCGCTCCTGGAATCCCACTAGTGTTGATAGTGCAAGATGGAAAAAGTTTAAATTAATGAATTTTCTAACTCATTCTTTGTCTTAAATGTTGGAGATTATCATGGTCTAAAAATTTGAACTCCAGTTCTAATACTTTCAGGGCTTAAGGGATGTAAACAACCGTGTATTTTAGCTAAGGAGTCAGCTGTGGCCAACAAGTTGAGACCCTTTTTTTCCAAGCCTATATTTGTTTATAATCTGCAAATTGGCACCATTAATCTAGGCCAAATTAGCTATTAGCAGTTCCTGTTTGCAATGTACCCATGCATATACATGCATCAATCACGGTGTTGTTTGGATACTGAAGAAAACTTGATGATTCACAGGCAAGTTCTGAAACTTTCTCTTTAATTTCAAAACTGATTTATGAATGTTTATTGATGATGAATATCAGAGATAATGATATCTTGGAGAAGTGCAGGTCACTATGAATCAAACAATATGTGTATCATGTCTGGAGACATAATCAAGTGTTGAGGTGTCTAGCAGCTTCTACTGAAGGTAATAACCAAGAGGTAAACTCAGTAAATGGAAATATGAAACAAGGGGGAATATTGTTTGTTCTTGAGGGTGAAAAAGGGAGCAAACAATTAATTTTGAAAACGCAAGATACAGGTAACTAAAGGCAGGGAGAGACTGGCAATTGAGAGTAAATTTTGGAAGCAGAAATATGAAGGGAGGGAAGATGATTTAGATAAAGTATACTACCAATTCTACTGTATAATTATTAAACCCTCATTGAAAATTGACAAAGTTCATCTTTAAGTGCCTCCAAGAGCTGAGTCTCACTGGGACTGATGACTGTATTGGTAAGCATGGCAAATCAGCAGGCTGAACTACAATAACTAATTTCCATTTGTTTTCAGAACACCAGCACACATCTGTCCCTTTCACCCGATAAGAGTATCTTTGCCTCACATCTCTCCCTCTTTGCTGCCTCTACATGTGTTTTTCCCATATGGAGGCACACCTCACAGTTTGAAAACCCTTGACCTGTGAGAGTGACTTTTTACTTTTTTATTTATTCCAGGCACACACTGTTTCTAATTCATGTCAGTACACTATGAAAATCCCATAGCAGACAATTGAATCATACTGAATCTCCCCTGGGATGAGTAAATCACCGTACAGTATATCAATCACACCCAAATCCAGTTGTGACATAGTTGTATCACTATCTTGTGGCACACATACACTGAAACAATATTCACCTGGCTTGTCTCATTTGTCTACACAGAATCTATACATAGTGGCTTTAGCCATCACTATGCCTCTGCCAACCAGTCTAAATCTTGGAAATTGGACAGACAAAGGGTTCACTGACCTTGACCTTTGACCACCAAAATATAATCATTTAATCTTTGAGTCCAAGTGGACACCTGCGCCAAATTCAATGAAATTTCCACAAGCCATTCCTGATGTAATGCATTCACTAAAATGGGCCGGACAGATGTACAACCTGAACACATAATGCCTCTGGCTGTGGCTATCACTGGTGCGGAAACATAAAAAAAAAAACTAGGATTTTGTCTAAAACCATAATTTTATAGACCAACCAGATATAACACAACAATAACTTGTAGCTTATCAAAGAATAACTGCCTAATTTGACATCAGAGCAACAATTAGACCTTAAACCAGCCGACTGTTTTGCTTTGTGTGCGGTTATTCCAGCCACATGCAGCCTTTTGTTCAGTTTTATCTGCAGCAGTTCAACTCCATTCAAGGCTAGACTGAGATAACAAAAGGGGAAGCAGCAGCAACGCATCACACAGTAGAGTACAGCTTCACTCTGTGTAAACCTGCACTGAAACAACTGGATTCACACAGACACTTGTCCCAGGTTAAAACAACGCCAGGAACTGCATTGGTGGTTTTGTTTCATGTACTGGTGAGTCAATGAATTATGATCCGTGAAGTAGATTTGTGTGTTTAAAACAAAATTTTACAGCCCTCTAAAATTCTAACAAGGCAAATGGTATATCTTTGGTTGCAACGATAAACAGCAGAAGTATGGCCTTCACTTAGTAAAATACCAGGAATGCATGCTTGCATGTGATTGTGATTGTGATGATGGTGTCACACTGAAACGCAGAAAAAGTTGAACCAGATCCAACATGGCTGCTGCACAATTCTGTCTTTTTGTGTGACCCTCCTCAATAAGTCACCACAGTTTCCCCATTCAGGATAGGAAGCGCTGTGCTTTTCTCACATAGACTAAAAGTCTCTGTGAATATGGTCTAACAGCCCCATTCTCCAGCCATCTCTTACACACACAGACTTGCTAAACATACATACTTGCATCTCGCTCTCTAACAGAAAAGTGTGAATAATAGCCATTCATAGCAGAGACATCTTATCTCCAGATTCAGATAGGAAATCTCAAAGGAGAGACACTGTCACACTTGTTTGGCTCTGTATGGTGAACTTGTGGACAAATTCATCCGTTCAATCTGTCAGAGTAAAAGAAAAACAGAATCCAAAACAGAACTTGACAGCCTTATAGAGCACATGTATTAAAATCAATGTTTTATAGCAAGATATTTACACCTTCACAGTTCAGTTCTACATACAATAGGAAGGGTTTTAATGTACATTGAATAAAAAATTAAAATGTATGGGTGGAAGTATGTACATTAAGAAAAGGAGAAAACCAAGGAGAAAATACTATTTGGAGTCTTCATATCTGAAGAAGCAGTTCTTAAACCTTTCCAGACCAGTCGTTTGAGGAATTGCCTCTTGAGACATCTCACCGATGTCTGAGTATATTTTTTGTATCAGTCATTGCTGGTGGTTGATTTCAGACACTGCCATCAAGATTGCTGGCTTGTTTTCCTGATAACCTTAGTTATAAAAAACATCATCCTCAGATAGTGAGCTGCTGTCTACATGTCGGACAGTAGCCTCGCCACTCACAATGCTTCTGTCCTCGAAGTGATGATGTCTGTCCTGCTGAGAGGTGGATGAGGGAGAAATGGAGTCAACCGGTGGCGAAGCAACCAGGCTGGCCAGTGTGTTGCTGCCATAAGCCTGGGTGTGGATGCTATACAGGTGCTGGGGAACGCCGACACTGCCACCATCCAGCAGGAACTGAGACAGGAAGTTGCTCTGTGCTGCTGAGGAGGGTTAATAACAAGATCCATCAAATGGCTGCTGTTTAGAAACACTGAATAATGATTGTACACTAAGGAAAACAGAGACAGATGGGTCCTCTCATGTTGGATAGATTGGTGCATTATAGAAATATTACAGATGCTCTGAGCAATGAAACTGGATCAGAAAAATGTGCTATTACTCTGAACCAGCTGCTGCACAGCATGTAGCTTTTATATAGTGTATGACTGTGTTTTTAAAGCAGTGTCTTTATGAAAATACATGTAAATTTATAGAGAACCAACATGCAAGGAGCCATTTTTGAAATAAAACACGATGTATTTCTTTTATAGCCAGATTTTATGGAATTATGAAAAAATGGTCAGTTTTCACAAATATAATTATGCACGTACTGTAGGTTTATCATTTTAAAATGTAAATAAATAATTAACTGCAGTGAAAACAAGCATCACCTGTAGTATCAGTGTGATTTGCATTATAACAACTGGGGCATTGCAGCTGATTTCAATGACAATTTTACCACTTGAGAAGAACTGAGTGTTTCTTCCATTTAATTTTGTTTTGATAGTTTACATTTAAACATTTTGGAGTTGTGTACATGTTGGCTTGACTAGGTTTTTAGTTAGGGACTTAAACCAGGAGGTACTGGTACACAGTAACAAATATAAGTATCCACATGGACAAAAATAAGATGTGCCAGTACTCTACTAGTGAGCAGCATTAGTGAATGTGGTGCACAGGACAGAAAACTGAAAACAAATTAAAAATCTATATCCCGAATATTGGTCTTATAATGCATTATATCACTGGGCACCAGAAGACCTTATCCCTCATGGTGGCACCAGAGGAACTGACATATTTTTACCTATAGAGAATGTGAAGGTATGTCACGCCGCGTTGAATGGTGGGGCCGCCATTTACCTGTGTACATTCCTGTTTTGTTTGGCTAAAAGGTTGCTCTATAACTTCCAACTCTGTTAGATCACCATGGATTCAACCTCTAGAGAACCAGAAATCTTGTACTCTATGCGATGGTAGTTCTTCTAAAGTAGAGAAAGGTCCTTCTGGAAGTGTTGAAAGGAGCCATTTCCCCTACAGCCAAGTCAGTCAGATGACTAATAACTGAATTTCAAGAAGGAAAGTGTCATAAACTCATCCACTCCTGTGGGCAAAAAATGTTGCCACTAGAAATTCATCTGATAATTAGGGCTGACATCTTAATTATTGGTGATAAGATCCACTCTAAGATACCAAGGTGCTGAAACTATATCATGCTATGCAAATGAATTCTATGCTGTGAAACAGTATTTCATTTTGTCATATTATCTTACAAATTTATCAGTAAAAAAACACTAAAAAAATCACTTCTGGGTAAAAGAAGAAATAACTTTACAACCAGTCAAAGTGCCAGAGACTAAAGTATTTCAGCAAATAATGTCACTTTGTTCATTATTCATCTAGAGTAGATAAATGGTTTTAATCTTTTTGGTTCAGACACAGAAGGACCTGCAATATAATATAGGAGATGCCTCATAGCTCCAGTGATGCATGTGATCCTTTTAAAAGACCAACCTTGTAAGCTAGTGGAGGGCTGCTCTAAGCTGTCGTTCATGGACCACATGTTCATGGCGGCCTCAGCCAGTGCAAACTGCTCCGCTACTCCTGTGGAACAAAAGGCACCCAAAACACATTTTTCTTTGCTTTTCTCTGATGTCGATCCCCTGCCGGTTTTCACTAAGTGTACCACCACAAACAAAGGGAAATCAAATCAGTGCACTAGATCTGAGTGACTGTCGTGGGATGTCTTAAGAGCTATAGATTTTTTTTGTAGACACTCCCTCTGCACAAGCCAATTGAATGATATCAATGCCCACAGGGGTCTGAACGTCACTTCATCTCTACTGATCACATCTCGTTTTTCCTGAATCAAACAATCCTTCTGTCTCACCTGCAGCAAAGCGAGCTTCCTTTATCTCATCTGTCATTTGGGAGTAGAAGTGTTCATCCTCCTGCAGCTCAGCCCCCACCCCACCCCAGCCTCCACCTCCTTTACCCCAGGTCCCACTCCAACCGCCCCCGCGTCCTCCGGCCTCGCTGCCTCCACCCCAACCCTTCCACTCAATCAGGTGAGCAACTCGCCCCTGAGCCATTGCTGTCGGTTTGGTGATATGCTCCTTTATTGTGGCCACCAGACCTAAATAAAAGGAGGAGAAGAAGGCTTGATAGAGTGGAGTAGATAAAGGGAGCCTGGCTGAGAAGATGGGCTATACAATAAGTGTGATAACAAAGTAAAGAGGAGCATAATTAGAGGAAAAGGTAAAGTAATAGGGTGCATGTAATTGTGTTCACCTGATGAAACACAGAAACATAAAGGCAAAATATGCCACAACCATGGAACATGGATATGGAAATGTGAAAAAGAAAATACACAGATGGAGAAGAATCATAAGATGGCTACACTGGAGGAGAAATAAGTCAGACTCAAGGTGAGCATTTACTCCTTTTTTCATAACCTGAACCATAAAAAGAAGCATTTCGGCTGCTTCCTACTGAAGTAGAGCTCTGCAGAAAAGAAAGTGGAGATGATTGGAAATCAGTGTAACAGCAACTAAGACTATCTTAGACAGAATTCTCAGCACTTCTACAGCACTGTATGAAGCTCACTATGATAGAAAAAATGTGCTGTGACAAATCATGTCACAAGTTTTCATAAGGAAATTTCAAGTCACTTGCAAGTCTTCATGGTCTCTGAATTCTAACTTCTACAGTGTGTACTGTATTTTCTTTCCCAGGATGTCTTCATACTAGGATTTTACAAGGTCAAATCTGAAGACAATCGTTTTGTTTTAAGATTTCAAGTCAGGTATTAAGGGAGTAAGTCAAGTGCCACAGTGGTCAAGTCTGACTCATGCTTAACTCACATCCAAGCATTAAATCTGCAACTCATTGCTTACCCTAAATAGACTGTTGTCACCAGGTCATAAATTTCATAATTTGAAGGGCAAGGCCACTTGGCCTTTGAATTCATACATTTTCTGAGGGCACAAAGGCCCCTAGACTGGGCACTAAGGCTGAGACAAATGACATGATATGTAACTGTACGCAGCTTTATATGCTGTATACAGCCTGAGCAGTAAAGTTACAAACTAGGGTTTGGTGTCTAAAGTAAAGTATAGATGCTTGTAGAACTGTTAAATGGACGTGCAGGGATATTGTAGTATAGCAACTGTGCACCTTTATTATAATTTAGATAGTACATGGTGTTATCTGTGCACATCTAGTTTCAAAGTCAAACTATGCTCTTGTTGCTCTCTGCTGATGTTGCGTACGATCACAGGTCAGAACAATCATGGATGTATTGAGGAGAAAATGACATCTAATTTCTCTTAATTACTTTAACTGGTGCAATAATTATATTCTTCTGGCATCAGGATGATAGAATGGCCTGCATCACTTATAGCACTGTTAAAACTAAAAATAATGGGTGAACAGCTTTATTAAGCACCGTTCTCCTTAATACATTCATAAACACACACCTACATGAGCGACTGAACATGAACTATCATTCACAAAGATCTCTCCTCGGATCTGATGGACTTGAGATGTGATGGAGTTAAGAACTCCACCACATCTGATGAGGGCATGACAACCACTGTAGCCGTGTCACTCCACAAATATACAGGGCATCATGACCAGATGCCAGGGGCCGTCGGGAAATTTATACCCACATAGTATTTATTAGATTTGCTGTGGCCCTGTATCTCTGCAGTAAGTAGTTATTCATATTAATTAAATCACTGCACCAAACCACAAAGAAGCCATCATTTCTATCAATCACAGGAGACAAAGGTAGTGAAGAACTGAAATGAAAGTTACTAGAAACGGATTGAACAACAGAAGGGCAGTTTGAGAAAATGAGCAGAGAATAAAGGTTAAGCAAGAAATTATGGGATGGGGGGGGGGCAACAAGCCTAGAAATAAAACAAAAAACTAGTGAAGGGAGAATATTTCAGAGTGAGAACTAGATACAGTTAAATGAAACAGGGAGCCCAGAGTGTTGGCAGCCTGGGGTAACTGAAACAGAAAATGTCGTGATGTGTTATTTTCATTTGAGCTTAGCACCTACAGACTGTGTTTTGTGGTGCACTGTGACACCCACTGCTGTCTCACCCTGTATTCACACTACGATGACTCTGCTATGAGACTGTTCTGGTTGACTGTTGATGATGAGCAGGGGATATTTGCATATATTTATGTGAACACAGCAGGAAAATCTCATTTGTTTTACAAATGGAGTATTTTGGGGCTTTCTGCCCATAATACAACATGACAAGGACCAAGTCATATTAGGCTGGCATAGCACCCCACAGGATAGTAATGTGTCCAATAAGTTCCCAGAATGCAATGGGCAGTAGCAAACAGCAAAGTTTTCTCTCTCTGATTTGTATGTGGGGTGCAACTAATGAGTATTTAAGGTACTGTCAGCTCCTGAGAAGGCTGATGCACAAGGATTTTGACTGTGCTACTGTGTGTTTCTGTGCAGATCCTTTCTTCATGTTTCAACATAAACCATGCAGTGTGATAGCTGACTAGAATGATGTGTGGAAGTTTTATTTTTGCTGTTCACATTTGCACCTGTATGCATCTTGGAAGGAACACTGTCATACGCTATTCAGGGGTGAAAATGTGCTTCACACTTGTTTTTTGTTTTTATAGTAAAAAAAAACAAACCATTGTGTGTGTATATATAAACTGATGCAGATAAAGTGGGCCACGCGTCTTTGACAGGTTGCAAAGCTAATTGGTAGGAAAAGAATCTTTCATTTTATATTTATTCATGTTAAATCAGTGACATCAATCAAAGTCAGGTTCTGTGGTGCTTCTAAAGGGCATGAGAGGAGCTGGTTTGATTGCCCATTTCTAAAGCCAACTACACAAATGCATACGCATTTGTGGCATCGGAGTGTTCAGCCAATCTGTGCGTACAAAGATACTTAGCAGATCACCATGAAATTGATGATATTCATGGTACCCTGAGCATGAATACTTTATTAACCCTTTAATACAATCATTGGGCCAAAATTTCTACATGTACATGGGAAATATCTTAATCTAACTGCCATGACATTTAATGGACATCTTCACACTCCATAGAGGATGAAAATATTTACTTCAGCTCCATGACCTTTGCATGCAAGCTAGCTCATAATCTAACCGGAGCTCCATGTAATTTGTTGAGCACATCAACATCCAACACTATTGCAAATCTAATGACAATTTCAGCATCTAGGATCTGCAAGCAGGGCTTTAGCCTTTTACGGTTAATAAAATCACATCAAACCAATATAGCTAATGAAGAGTATTATACAAAAAAAATAAAAGCAGCAACATCTGCATGATATTTTAATATCTGAGTTTGTACAGATATGATTTCAACAGTGAGGTTGTCAGCTGCAGTCCACAGAACTTGCTTTGACAATTTAAATAATGACTAGCAAGTGATTAAATCTGATTAAAACTTAAAGCTTTTTTATTTTATTTTATTTTTTTTACTGGGCCAATTCTGTGACTCCCAAAGCAGGTGTCAGCATCTCAGCTGTCTGCCTGAATGTCTATATTTCTCTAACATATTCATAAGCTTACTGTGGCCTTTGTAATTGTACTGTCAAAGTAATAAAGGCAAAAAGTTTAGCAAGGCATAACACATTAACTCAGATAATTATTCTCCCAGAAAGAGATGGAAGCAGATGAGATGAAGCAGGCAGACACAGAAAGGGAGAAAGGATATAATAAAAGAGTGGGAGGCAGTGACATGAAGAGAGGAGGAAGTCAGAGTCAGAGATGGAGAAGAAAATCAAATGGGAGAAGGAAATGTGTGTGTACTTGTACCTGACTGTTTATTCATGTCTGTGTGCATATACTGGTGTTACAGTATGTGTGTGGGAGACAGAGTGGACAAGGGAAGAGGAAAATTGCATTACTAACCATGGGAGGTTACTAATCCAATTTCCCAGCTTGCTTTTTTCCCAGTGTCATTTGTGATTCTTAATGAAACACAACAAGAACTAAACTGTTTGCATTTGTGTGTATATGCTCGTGTGTCTAGTCTCACCTATCAAAGAGGAAGTGGCCAGTTCTCCAATGTTGTAGCGGCTGGTTTTGTCTGCCACACTGCCATTGGAAGGATTCTGGCTGTCCTGCACAATATGATGCACAAGAAGGAGAATATCACTGATGGCACTGATGAAAAGCTTTTATTTCCAAAGGGAACTAAGAAAAATCGCTTACATTTAGCTTGTTAATGCTGAATTAATGACATTTTATTTAGGTTTGAATGGTTTTCATGCCCAGGAGAGATGTTTCCATCTGAACGAGGAGCAGTTTTGGACTATATAAATCACAAAGAGTAGGAGGCGACACACACAGAACACAATACATTTTCATACATCCTCTTCTGGCAATCAAGTCTTTCCCACTTTTTTCTTTCAACTAAAATGGTGATAATGGCAATAACAGCCAGCAACTCTTTGAAATCCTGCAGCATTCACACCCAGTCTGAATGAAATGCACTAAAAGGAAGGCATTTTAAACTCCAGCCTGAATGTCATTTGCATGGAGGCAGCTCCAATTAGTATGGAAAGAAAAAGTGCAATACATTTTCCTTGGTTTAGTTTTCTTGGTCTGAGCAACAGAAATGATGTAAGGTAAAGACAGACTCATTGTGACTAATTGCACAGCTTCAATACACTGGTCACTTTAATGTCATTATCTCCTTCCTTTCTGAATTTGACCATAAAATGACCTACAGTAAGTTGTAAAACCAAGCGCCCTGTTGGGCTAATGTTGTTTCTGTTTTTCACATTAGCAGACGGCTACTTTACCACCATATGTGTGGTCACTGCAACCAAGGATAGCTTTTGAATTACTGATTTTAACATGCATTTCATTTGCAATGCTATTAAAAGAGGTAAACATAAAAAAAAAGACCCAGAGTGTTTATATATGTACTATATACTACAATATGCAGTCAGGTGGATGGATAATCTGGAGAAACATTACATCAAATGTGCATTTTTACAGATATTAAAAAGTTAGAATTTTTTTTAACTTGACAATATTAAAAATATTAAATCACTTTAAACTGTGATGATAAATAAAAAAATCCATGTTTATTTTGGTAATGCCCACCTAGCTAGTGACTCTAGCTACAGTTAGCTACACATCAACATGTTGAATACAAAACAATTTACATGTTTACATTGTAATATTTGATTTGAATGTAAGTTAGTTAATCTTCCCTCTACTGACTCTAAAGAACTTGATACCAGTGTCCACTACATGGCATTAGCCACACTGCAACAAGACAAGTGACTAAATAAATCCTTACTTGTTCCTTTCCTTATAGTTTTTGTTTTAATATTTTGGAAATATGAAGGTTTTGAGGACACTCATTTTAATAGAAGATGGTCTATAAAAAAATCATCTTGGTAAAAAGCAGGAAATTTCACTCCAGAAGCCTGCATGGAGGGTGTGATGGCGCCTGGATGAGGAGCAGACTGAACATGTTTTGTGTGAAAGAGATATTAACCATGAAATGGAGCCAGTCTTTCTGCCTACAGTTGCACTTAACCTCACTGAGCAATAAACACATCCCAGGCAGAAAATTAGCTAAATTACAAGGTACATCTGAGCACTGCTCTTCGTGTTAGAAGAATTCCAGATCATTTTGGAGTAAGTTAAAAAGCTCTTTTAAACATTCAGAAAATTCACTCTTACTCAGTCACCTGTGCCTGCAAACCTTTTCATACTCACTTCTAACAGTGTTAAGAATTCAGACAGCTTAGGATGTAGGCTTATTTGCCCAGATTTTGAGTTATCTGAGGTAAAGTTCCTTCTAACCAAAACAATCTAGGTGAACAGAACTTTATCTGTTGTGCTCACATTGAAAAAGGAACCACCAACATATTTTAGCTGCTTTTTTGATTTTGTTTACTTATTTATTTATGTTAATGAACAGTTCTACTGAAAGCTGTTTTCTGGTGAATTGGCACTAAAAGTAGTGACGTGCTGTTTTCAGGCCACGTGAGGATAGACACACCAAAAAGGCCCCTACCAAACCAAAACCAACAAGGAGAAGGTTAGGGCTTTCACTAACCTTGACAAAGGATGGCTGACCCTCCTCACTCTGGTCCTGCAGTGCTGTCATGGGAAGGTGGAGCTCTGTAGGCAATCACGAACCAAACACTGGTGTTACAGTAGATTCGAGCTTTATGTATGTGGGTTTCTTTTAGTCACAACAGCGTGTGTTTCTGGACAGGGATTATGGTCTTTAAAGCCAAATTCCAGCTCTCCCTAATGACCAGGGTTCAAACAAGGCTCATATACAACTGATGTGAGACAGAGAAAGAGCAACAAATCCACACAGAGCCATTTCACTGGAACCTCTCTGCATGTTTAATTTGGTACTGGGTCATTTGAGTGACAAGAGAAACTGAAGTGCAGGTCAGTGTGATGGAGCATTAACATTATAAGAAAGGTCAGTGGACACACACATACACACAAGAATAGAAACACACACTTGGGGTTTCCCCTGGGAGGTGTTGTCAAGACAATTGGCTGTCGCTATGGAAACACTACAGCAACAGGAGGCAAGTGATACCCTTCAATTTACTTAAGCCACGGTTGCCAACACACATACACACACAGAGGGGTAAAAAAACTGTATCTGATCTCTGGCCTCATCAGATGGCTCTTGGCATATCAAGAAACCCTATCATGATTCCTGAACCAGTCTTCTGGGTAAAATCCCACCCTGACATACTCACATACACTCACACACACACATTCACAGATCTCTTATCTGTTTATCTGGAGCCTCACGGCTGCCTTTCCTCTTTCTTCCCATCTTGAAAAAACTGCTTTTAGTACCTTCCACCTTGTTAAAAGGGACCCTTCCTGAACAAGAGTAGACAATGTTGCTCAAAATATTTTCAGACTGCATCTCAGATTCAGGCTGAAAATTTGTGGGATGTGATGTTTAACATCACGTATTGACAAAATAACAAGCAGATTGCTGTTTGCAGCTATCACAGAAACTGGTACAGCTTAAATCAACTTTTTGTTTTTTTAGGATCTTTTGTTTTGACAGCAGATTAGTGCTTCCTAAAAGAGGCCCTGCCGCCAGCTGAGACATTGTTACTTTATCCAGACAGCTGTTAAGATGAAACAAACACTACCTTATTTCCAGCTAAACCAGTAACAGAGAGCAAATTTTAGAGAGAAAACTACAACCCAAATCACATAAGTTGAAGCTTTGATGGAGATGTCATACCCTAAAGCCACTGTTGTCCTCTGCTGATCATTGAAATCCCACTCATCAACCTTCCGCCCCCTAAAGCAGCCTCGATGGATTCTCTCACATAAGTTTTTAACTGAATGCTTGGCAGAATTTCTGTTGTACATTAGTTCCATCTTGCTCCTCAAGTGTTTGTTGGCTGCTGTCAACACTTCTGGCAGGTTGTTTCAACCCACAAATAGGTACACAGACATAGATGCACAAACAGGTGGCACTGACCTTTGTGACCTTTGCAGAGACAGGTACCCATGGTCTCAGGACGGCCGAGCGGTTATCTGTTCACCATGGTGGCTTGAAGATGAGGAGGATGAGGAGTGGGGAAATTGGAAGAATGAAAGGCAAGGAAGAAAAAGAGGCAGCAGTGCTGGCAGAAGTATCAGTGAGCAGAGGGGTAGAGAAAGTGAGGCAAGGGGGAAAGTAAGACCAGACCCCAGATGAGCTGTAGGCTGATGCACTGGCTGACTTTTCTGTACAGAGGAGAGATGAACAAGCAACACAGACAAGGAGTGGGGAGGGGGAGCAGAGAGAGAGACAGAGGAAAACGAGGCGAAAGCACGAAAGCCTGTTTGCTGGCGACTGTGAATCCCCTCCCCTCTACTTCTTCTATTCTCCTCCCTCTCTATTCTTCCTCTCTATCCTGCTGTATATAGTAGACTCTCACGGCTTGATGACGGAGCTACAGATGGGTGACAAATTAAAGAACAATCCCAAGTAAATGAGTGGAAATTAAAAAAAATGGAGGGATCACTAGTTAAACTTTCATCATGATTTATCTGTTTATTCACCGATTGTCAAAAATTGGGAAAAATGCCCATTTTGACTTTCCAGAGTCGAAGGTGGTATCTTGAAATGTCTAGTTTGGTCCAACAACTCCTAAAATATTCAGTTTAGTATCATCTATGACAAAGAAAAGCATCAGTTCTTCACATTAAAGAAGGTGGAACCAAAACATTTTGGTGAATTTTGCTTCCAAATAGTTGCCAGTTAATTTTCCATAAATTAGCTGACTAACTGCTGCAGCTTTATGCCACTGGATTAATGAGGATGAAAATGTATTGAACACAATGAGGGAATATGTTTTAGAACAACGTTTCCTTCCTCAAATCAAGGAGAACTTTACTATAAAGTCTAGGTTGTTCACTTTATTTTAGTTTTTCCTTGAATTAGTCCTTTAACTAATACCTTTAATTTCTGTTTCAATCAATACAAACAACCCAACACAGTGTTTACCTGGTACTACTAATTTCCAGTGTATTGTTGGGAGCTATCATTGAGCAGTGTACATTCAACAAAAAAATTGCCTCATTACGTCTGGTCACAAGATATCATAACATACCATGTGTTTAAACAAAAAAACCTACCAAATACCCTACCCCTTGCAGATGGGATGAGCTGCGAAAACACTGAAGCTAAAATCTCCCATTTTACATTTCAGATTTTGGAAAGGCTACTCAAGCATCACATTACTTACTTCTTTACTTTCTGTTCTCTCAGCCTTATATTGTTTACTTGCCCATTGCTGCCTTATATAAGGACATGTACATGCACATTGAGAATCACTGTACCAGAGTCAAATTCCTCATGTGTCCAACACACCTGGCCAATAAAGCTGATTCTGATTCTGATTCTGAAGTACTTGCAGTTCAGTGATGTAGCAACTCGAGAAAGAGATCCTGATTTCAATGAGATGCCTGTTGAAATGGAGAATTACATAGGACAAATATTAATTATTAGATCAGTATCATTTCTCAGATGGTATGCTACTGTATGTTCTGGATAGCTACCTAGCTAACCCAGGGGTTTTCAACTGATTGAGACCCAGGGACCACCACTGATTAAGAGGCAACTTGAGGACTACAGTTGTGGGGTGACTAGACTGAATGAGCACTAGTTTAATCCTGAAAATCACCTTGGCTTTTCTAAATTTATAATTTGCAAATTCAAATAATTCAAAAGCAATAATTAATACCTAAAAACATGTTAAAAAATAGTGATGCCCACATTGAGACTATATTACTGAATACATGGTCAAGGACCACCTGCCTTGCTTTGGAGACTACCAGGAGTCTGCGGACCACTGGTTGCAACCTCCCGAGCAAACCTATCTGCAGACTTAGCATTGTTTGAATCTTTTTGATAGTGTTAGCAATACAGTATATAGATTATAAGAAAATTTTTCCTGAAATGGTTATTAAACTTTACATTATGTTCTATGTTCTTTCCATTCATCTTTGCATTAGGGCTTCATATATGATATATCATGTATAGTATATCTTAAAGTATAGTCCTGGTACTTAAACCAAAACAGCACTGCTTTAATACATGGCATGAAAGAATATAAGTTTCTCCCAAAAATAATGTTAAATCTAAATAAAATATGTTTAGAGGACACAAATTCTAATTACAGAAGACACAACTAAACAGCCTACTGAAAACTGTCATGTGGTACTGCTCTGTAGGTATGCAGGTTGATACCCAGCATACAGCATCTATTAGCTTAAGATTCACCAATCTGATTACAGTTAAATTGACTTCATCGTAATTCTAGTTTTCACTAATTTACAACCAAAAACATTCAGACATAAGGGTATAGACTCGACAACACACACACCTTCATACACATCATTAGGTGTCTCCTGTGACCTCATTAACTCAGTCTCTCACTCTCACGCATGTAAAGCAACAATCAGACACAATAGTCTGTCCTCACACCATGTTGCCACTGTTTGTTCTCAGACTGCTCCTGGCATAAGTACTGGGATAATGTAACTGGGGCTTTGCTGACATCACCCACGGCAACGGTGCTCTTGACTCCATCATGGGGGAAAAT